GGTGAGCTCCAGTGAGCTTCCTACGCCAGTCGTTGGAGGTTTGGAATCAGGGTTTAGCCATCTGCCCTAGACCGTCATGCAATGGACAGTCAACCCGGTGGAGAGCGCCGGGCATCCGCTTTCGCCCTCTCACTTTGGTGAGAAACACCTCCGCCACGTGAAGGCAGTGAGTAGGACTTCCTCAGGAGAGGCTATGTAAGACGCCCGGTCATATGGGAGCATTTCAAGAGGTGTGCGGAGGGGTGGCCAACCCGCAGCGCAAGGCACCCACCCCCGACCATCCTGAGGCTTTGGAGGCTATCTGCCAAGTGGGCTAAGACTGCACTATTTACGCATTTGGTTACTCCTTTACTTAAACATACTGTTAAATGTTCACGTGCACACATGGATAAGGCCCTCTCAGTACGGCCAATGTAACTGGCTCTATATGAGTATTTGAATTCATAGATACATACTGATGAGGCCATCTTTGGTAATTTATCCTCGACTAGTTGTGTCAGTACTGGTTTAGCTGAGAAGCCGAGTACCAGTTTAACTGCAGGAAATGTTCTCTCTACTGCTCTGTTAAGTCGACATTTTGGAATGTCAGCTGCGATCCCCCTTAACTTCAGATAAAAAGGTTTCTTATCTACCTATCTTCAGGTATGGGCACATACTTTACTGGCTATTGTATGCTTAAATTACTGGATTTATAATTTAGACAAAGCAATAAGAAGACGTAATTTGTCTGAATCGTGAAACACATTTCGAACAATCTGATCACACCCACCGACTTGTCATAGGAATACAAATATGAAATTAATAGAGAGTTAAGAGGTGAGAAAATAAATTTAGGTCAAGTCATAAGGACATATTGAAGGACAAAATAACAATGAAGATCACTCAACCAAATAACAGACGTAACATTATGTCTACCCTGGCTGGTATCAAAACAAAGTTTACCAAGGAAGGTTTAGTGCGATGGCGAATTGTTTTTGAACGCATTAAGGTGGTTTCAACTGTCTAATTGCTAGCTAGGGCTTCCACAAACTTTAAGATAGGCCCCAAACTCATTTTATAGATAGGTTTAAAAGATGTGCAAACGTCAATTTTATGTCCTGTCTCTATAGTATGTTTCGCAATAATGGATCACTTTGTAGTTAGTTGGTTAACGATAGGTGAAACGCTTAGCCTTTGAAAAATCTGCAAGGACTCTGACTAGACATTAATGAATTCATGATCACGTTTACGACTGAATGCAACATAGGAAATAATCACAAAGCCACAAAGCTTTTAGATATTCACTTTGTCGAAGAGGAAGTTTAGTCTACGTCTATGGAAGACGTGTGATGCAAGGACGACCGGTAAAGTGTTGTAGAAATGTTGAATGTAACCATTCTTATTTAACTTTACTGTAGATGCATCGTTATAATATGAATGAATTCAGTGGGATTCAATGATTGACTTGTCACAAGGGAAATGTTTCGTTGACCGGGAGATTAAACAGACGATTTCATAATTTCTTATAGCATTGCTTTTCTTTGCTTTCATGTGTGCTTCTCAAAAGCCAGAGGCATTAAAAATAGTTGCACTTTTATGCGGAGTTTTACACCGTTGGTAACTCCATCATTTAAAATAAGGAGCGAAAAAGGGGTACTGTACCACATGAGGATGTGTGCCCTTGTAATCGACTTTAAACCATTTATTTATATTACTATTATTATCATTATTCCCTTGGGTTCCGAGTGGAACATAGGGCTTCAACAACACATCTCCACTTTCTCCTATTCTCCGCCATCACCTTCAGCTGGCTAGCTCCACGAATGACCATAATCTCTCATCTCCACCTTCCCGACAGACGATCTCCTCCATGTCACCCTTGACTCTCGCACCGACCACCCACTCATTGCTTCCTATTGGGATTTATAGTCGAGCGATAGCCTGCATTGTGCGCAATATCATTCAACGCCCTCCTCAATAGCGAATGTCGGATCCATCACCATTTTCTCCTGCATACTTGTTCAGCCACAGTGGCACAGTGGTTGGGACTCTCGCCGACCATGCACATGGTCCGAGGTTCGAACCCCCGCCGACGCACACCTGATATCTATGGTCGGCCTGGAAAATTTGGGCTACCGATATCCATGCTGAAAATTCCATACTTGTAGCAAAAATACAGTGTGGAATCAAGCTGTAAATCAAAAATATAAATGTATTTTAGAACACTCGGCCTGAGGAAAAAAGAATATCAACAATCCTATCCTTGAGCATCTTGTCAACTGCAGACTCATCCAACACTTTTGCATAACTGCTTCGCAGTAATCTACAGAGCCATTACTTATTATAGAATACTCTATTTATACAGAGCTGAATCACTGGAGCTTAAGCTGCCGCCTAAACATATTGAAAGTAACATTTTTACCGTGGTTTTATATCATCTAACTATTTGAATTTCATATTCCTACTATATTTATCACTTGCTTATCAATATTCTTACTGTTAGTTAAATAACAGACTTCGCCAACCAATTGAAATGGCTAGGACACGTGCAGCGCATGCCAAACCACCGCCTACCTTCTCGACGAGCAATATATAAGCTAACATACGATCAAGTTGAAGAAGAGTTAGGATCGGTCAAAACAAAACCTAGCATTAGTCCATGAAGTCTTTGAATGCTGCTTTGAGCCAGACACGTCGGAAAGTGTAGACCCAAGATGCTCAGAACTAATGTCCAAAGACTCTTGTTGGCGTATTCCTGCTCATTACAGTTAGTTCTTTAAGTTTTTTTCCGTTTCTCTAACCTTGTGTGGTAACTTAAAGTGCTGCACTTCACTGTGCAAAGTTCTATGTTGTAACCAAGTCATTCAGTCAGACGGATTTCACTAAGACACACACACACGCACAGTATTTCAACGATTTTAAACATTGCCATCATTTTTCACATGTATTGAGTAATACCAACTTTCATCTTTGAGTCCCTCGCTCCATATGACAGTCCCTCCTAGATGGCGCATCCTATGGAGTTACGCGTAAAACACTCCTGAAAAAATAATCACCGTTATTTGATTGATTTTAATAAATTTATCTGTTGAATATTTAAACAAAACTGTACACCTTGTGAAAATGATTCGCTGAAAATAGGGTGTACAATCAGTCAAGTTCACTGTTGAATTTCTCAACACCTCCCATCTTGATTTGGTTAAGTTTCCATTAAAGATATAAGCAGTCCAACACAAGCTCAAAGGACTAGACCACTACACTAGTAACTGACTAGTGTCCAGTCAAAGTACCGAATACAGCCCTACAGGAGGTCAATTGTGAGCTCGAATAGCTCAGTGGCTGCAGCACTGGGTGACACAGGGACATGACTTCCTTCAAGGTGGTTGCAGATACGCCTTGCTGACACTAAGGAGTACCAACTAGCACGAAACCTAGGTCCGGTTGGGCTTCCCATCGGTCGCCTCCAACCACCTAATATACTAGCTTATCTCGTCGACACTGGATACCAATTTTACACTGACAAAGCTTTTACAGTTATTTATCGTATTTCATCGAACCTCTCGTATCTTCTACAAGTACAACTTACAGACAACAAAGGTGATCGGAGAGAAATTTGTGTCGCCTCTGTCTTCGCCGTGTACGCCCTTGTACAAGAGGTTTTAATTTTAACGACAAATTATTTTCCTCTCCCCTTCTAACCATTATTTTATTATGATTATAATTGTAGCTAATTCATTTAACTTGTTTGCGCCTTGGTATTCTTACGTAACGCCGCATAGTCATTCTATTCTTCTTAGTTATCATCGGTATTTTACAAATTTCTGTTGCTAATCCGGCCGATAACCGCTACCTTGTCGTGGTGGTCGGGCTTGAATACCGCAATGACCCAACATGCTAAACTGACTGGGACTCTGTCCCTGCAGGTCCTATCATGTCAGGAAGGTTGTTTGGATAGCGGTTAAACTAAAAGCAGTTACCATGGAGTACATTGGCTCCAGAATCCAATCGGATCAAATGGCGTATGAACCCATATGCGTCACCGTCAACCATGGGAATGCAGTTCCTGACGCTGCTCCGCTGCCTTGCGAATTAGACTCCAAGTCAAAGGCTCGGGGGATGGTCCCTTAATAAAACCACCTGCTTCGGTTTGGGCACCCGGGCAGTATCTCAGCCCTCACACAATGAATTGAATAAAGCAACAAACTATCAATGAAACTTATCGCGCGCTATTACACCTGTTTCAATTTCCTTCTTTCTTGCCTTCCCGGTGATAGTTAACGAATACTGTTTGAACTTGTTAGGCATGACTGTTTTCCTTCCAGATGAAGTTCTTTATCCCTTCTCTACTTACATATATTTTTTTCTCTTCTTTCTTTTTTTTTCTTTTGATCTATGTTATTTTATTATTATTGTGTGGCACATCCTTCTTGGTGCCATATTGTACCAAGTTTTTATGCGATTAAATAAAAATAAAATCATAAAAATCCTTAAAGTGTTGATTTGTAGGGATTTGATTGGTTTCAGGATTTCATCATGAGCTGACATTAGTTAGAGAACCACTGGAAAACCTGGGAGTACTGGACAGCTGTTTCGCCCTGGTCTGGGACTCTTCAGCAGTATGCACCCACAGGGATTCGAACCCAGGACCTTCCGGTTTCAAGGCGAGTTCGTATACCATTAAGCCACCGGGACCCAATCCAATGGTCCTTGAATTCTAACTTCTGCCAAAAATCCTTAAGCATTAACTGGTCTTGAATTCCTTAAGTATTTTCAGCCGTCTTTTCAAGAAAGTCAGATATCTTGTTGACAAAATCCACCAATTAATTGCTTTCATGAATTTTATGTATTTTTTCGTTCAACTTATGGTTTTTTTTCAAGTAAACACATATAAGTATGTATATATGTGTATTTATACATGTAAATATGAAATATAATACAAATAAATTCTCATAACAATACAAGTTATGCTGAGATATACACACAACAAGCCTGAAGGTGGAGAATTAGAAAACACTTTCTCCTTAGACATAATTTTGATAATGTACAAGCGATTGTGTATACTGCTTGTCTGCTGTCCACATAGAATCATCGTTCTCCATTAAATTACGGCTAATTGGTTGAAGTTGAAGCAGATAATTTTTCAATGTAATTTCTAAATTTTCATACATCTGTTATACACAGAAGAAAAAAATAAAAAAAATATATACAAAAAATTAAAGAATATGGTGAGAAATACACCTTCTTCCTGCACCAACCACCATCCCTCCCCCCCCCCAACATCAACTCCAACAATTTAGACATCTTGAAGAAATGAATAAAAGAAGATTCAACAAAGAATATTCACCTTTTTCTTCCTATCTCTCCAGACCCTTTTTATCGGGCTTACCGTATATGTACTGCTGGTACAATTGAGGAAAAAAAACAACACCTCACTGAAATATTGTTAGCTAACAATTACCCACTGAGATTTATTAGACGTTACAGAAGTGTCAACCATCATAGAGCTTTACCAATCCAATCAGCTCCCCTGTCTGTCTGTCTGTTTCCGACATGGAACTTTGCACAAATGTGCGGAAGTTCAAGTCGCCACACTCCGTGTAGCACGCGAAGCAAGAGAAGAAAGTACAAGAAAAGCATAATAGAAACAGTGAGCAGTGGTGTGAGACAAAGTAGGAGTAATAACGAAGAACAAAACAGTTTCATTGGAGATCATAAGTCACAAGGAGTGGATGCATCTGCACCAGCCACTGAGAACGATTTTGAGCCATGTCACCAATTGTTTCCAACCTCCATTGGTTTTTACCGTCCCGAGGACCTCAGCCTGGAAGTCTACACCTTCCTACGTGGCTTAGACAAACTGTTGTGGATTTCATTGACTGGTGCCAAGTTTTTGTTTGAAATCAGCTCCCCAAAAAGGATGTTTGCATAACCCTGCCAGTTCAAAGGTAATCAACAAAGTCTAGTCACTAGATAAAGACTAAAGGCCGCAATTAATAGAACGTATTATGCAGTTAAACTAATCTTCATAGAGAAAACGAGAACCATACTGTCCTGTAAACCCTCTCATCCCATTGTGTTTATCAATTTACATGTATGTTTGGCGACATGTACACAACACAGGGAGGACCCATCGGTCTCTGCAGGTTAGGGCTACAGAACACATTCCCAAGTGGCTGCAACAACAAATGAAATCGCCAGACACAAGTGAACCCGGAAATAGATGTCGAACATCATCTACAGCGAAGCATATTATAGAGACGGGTCATAAGGTTGATTTCAACAATGCCTTTAAGCCGATATATAAAACAAGGTTGGGGCATATACTTACATTCATTGAAGCCTTAGCCATAAAAAGACTTAAATCTGTCTTATGTGTCCAAAAGTTATTTGTTATCACCTTAAACCTGCCTTGGTAATCCAAGTTAGAACCAAGGACCAATTTACTTTATAATATTTTCAAACCCCTTCTTTGCCTTGTTTCTTCTCATTTTATCTTTCTTACCTACAACACACCTTTTGCGTCTTCCTCCCCTTTATTTGTGACCTTGACCTGTACACAATCTGACCTGTATTGTAATTATATATGCCTTCTTGCCTTCTATAAAAACTGTGTATGACAAGTTCGTGTGTGATCAGAATGTTGTCTGAAATGTTTTGAGCCAATAACATTACACGTTTCAGATAAACTACGTCTTCTTATTGTGTTGTTAAAAGAGAATTTATCAGATTTCTGTGATTAAGTAATGATGACCAAGGTGTAAGGAAAGTGACTGCTGTACGAATATTTTTTTATCAGCAGAGAGAGATTCGACTTCTTCAAGTGGATTACTAATGCCTTCAAGTCTACTAAAGATGTAAAAGACGAACTTGTCAAACAAGAAATTAACATTAGTTTTCGGAATACGATAAAGGATGCTCAGGAAGGCTTCGTGTGCTTTTGGAAGTGTGTGAGCGGTTGTTACTTCCCGGCCGCCCACACTGTGGAAGTTGATTGATTCTTCGGGTATCTCAAACAGAAAGAGAATCAGTATTGCGTAACCCCACAAAGCCCATGGGACAACTGTCTGAGGTCGGTCACACAGGGCCTAAATGAACAGGCTTTTTGGTTTGGTTCTGTATTAGTAACTTACCATCGGCTACGGATCATCGTAGGGTAAGTCGGGATGTACAACTGTTGGGGTCGACCTTTTCCAACCTCCCCCCCCCCCCGAGGTGGAGAGACAGCATAGCTAGCATGCTGGTCATCTGAAGGAAACACCTTACAGCTGTCACATTCCTGTTTGCTAGGTGTACAGCTTCACCCACAGACACCCAGCATAGTGTACAAAAATTCTAACACTAAGCAAGTAACTGCTTTTAGTCTAAGCGCTATCCTAACAACCTTCCTGCACGAACAACAGCTCCAGCCAGCGTAGCTTGTTGGGTCATTGCGATGTGCAAGTCCGACCATCATTTCAAGGTAGCAGCTATAGATAGAGAATATAACAGATAAATTTCAATGGCTTGTTAACATCAACTTTCGGTTCAGTATTTATATAATGATGACGTAACATATAAAGCAAGACAGTTCAGAGATCTGATGAGAATGATGAACATACCCTATTTGTATGACCAATGTAACTAGCTGGATAAAAGTAATCAAAATGGTAGATGCACACTGAAGGGATAAGAGTATTCATGTAGTTTATCTCTTTATAGTTTGAAAGTAAAATTATGAAGTGGTTATGAAGAGATAATGCACCATTGCTGTGTATTGAATACTTCTATTAATGCATTCATTAAGCGTGTTTGTTATATCTTCACTGATCTTATCGTTCATTAGGAAACTGTAGTTTCAAGGTCGAGGGGATTTCTCTGGAGATGTTGACATACTAGCTTTCATTTTGTTTCATAAGGCGTTTAACTGACAATTTTATGCAGCGTCACTTTGCTTTCACCAGTAGGATCAATTTTCGCTGATATTTTACTCGTGAAATTAGAGAATAATCCTTTGAAAGGTGTATTTAGTTGACTGGAATTCGATTGTCTCGTTGCATGGATGATGTGTCTTTGATTATGAACAGTTCCGAAGAAGCACCTGTTTTTCACTTTCTTGTTGATAACATTTGAGAAATAATAACATAATCCCTAAACAGTGGAGTGGAAAGCTTATTCAGTGAAGCGTTGATACACTGTCTAGTCATAACCACTTCGATTTTACGTTCTAGAGAGGAGGATAAACTACCTAACTGATTACGTCTTCCCTATGCGTATCTACTGGCTTGAATTCTCCTATGAAAATAATCACATTAGGTGTAGAATTTAGCATATTCATCATTCTCATCAGATCTCTGGACATCAATTTGAATGATGGTTAAACACGGGATTCACAAATTCTGTTCGTTGCTTTCTATGTTACCTCACCATTGTAAATAAATACTCAATCGAAAGTTCACGTTAACAAGCCATTGAAAGTTATCTATCGAATTCCGTAAGCTAATCTTAATTTTACTTTACGAGTTCGTCTTCTACATGTATAGAGTTGAAGGCATCAGTAATCCACGCGAAGAAGTCGAATCTGTTTGTTGATAATAAAAATTCGTGCAGCAGTCACTTAACTTGGTTATCAGTACTTAATCACAGAAATCTGATAATTTCCTCTTCCTCCTCCAAAACCTTTCGTAAACTATTATTGTTTTAACTATCCATGATTATTGCAATAATCTTCTTCCTTAACTGGATCTCATATTCACACTTTAGGATTACATAAACATGATTTTGAACTCTAATCAATAGATTGTAAGATTCCCCATATTATGTAAACATAAAACTCACTTACTTTACTTCGCCTATCTCCTACGGGAGGATGAGCCGGCTTCATGAACGTCTCGAATCATCGCTGCCCAGGCGCGGCAATTTGTAAGAGAGTTCATGAAGTTTCATGGGAATTTGGTACGAGTGATGTCCCCAGCATCGCTCGGCCTTTTGTTTGAGAGTACACCTCTAGCCTTTACACAGCCAAGTGTGACCTACAAGGCAGTAGGAGTGGAGTAAGGAGTCCACTATCCATTGGCAGCCGGTGACCGGAGTTCGGTTCATACGCCTTTTTGAATGGGGCCAGACATCCAGGACATCCAACAAGCCCTTTGTCCATACGTCTGCCGGTGAGCTCCAGTGAGCTTCATACGCCAGTCGTTGGAGGTTTGGAATCAGGGTTTAGCCATCTCCCCTAGACTGTCATCCAATGGACAGTCAACCCGGTGGAGAGCGCCGGGCATCCGCTTTCGCCCTCTCACTTTGGTGAGAAACACCTCCGCCACGTGAAGGCAGTGAGTAGGACTTCCTCAGGAGAGGCTATGTAAGACGCCCGGTCATATGGGAGCATTTCAAGAGGTGCGCGGAGGGGTGGCCAACCCGCAGCGCAAGGCACCCACCCCCGACTATCCTGAGGCTTTAATATTGCCTCAGGTTTAGACCACAAATTGATATCAGTTAGGGTACCATTGAAAGCCAGCTAGGAGTACTGGAAAGACAGTTGTTTCACCCTAGTTTGGGACTCATCGGCAGTACGCGCACCCACCAGGTTTCAGAACTCAGGGACTTTCCTAAATCACAAATTGGTAGAAGTTAGAATTAATGAACCGGCTTTTGACGAGTCAGGTCCCCGTGGCTGAATGTTATACGCACCAGATTGCTTTTTTTTTTACCAGAAGGTCCTGGGTTCCAATCCCTGTGCTGGGTGCTTACTGCCAATGAGTCCAAAACTAGGAGAAACAGTCGTTTGGCAGTAATCCTTGCTGGTTTTCAATGGTTCTCTAACTAATATCACTCATTCCGGGGTCTAAACTGAAACAAATAGAACCCATACAGACTAATTCTTGAAAATTATTATGGTCAATAACAGTTACTCTTTAAATACTATGTATGTATATATAACTATAATCACCACATGTACATATAAAAGTTCATTTCAGAGTACACTCAGTTTCTACACAAAAAGCTTAACTACTGAAATAAATTAAGTAGTTAGTTTATTTGCCTAAAACAAACACGCGTAAGTATATAAGTAAGCCAATGAATTAATCGCCAACACTGTGAACTGCTACCTAAATAGATGAATTTTACGACTACTTCTCATAGTGTGTCTGAGTAATTGCGTGTGAGTGTAGTAGCACTAGAAACAAGTTGTTTTCATTTCACACAACGTCTTTTCACATCATGATATTTCAAAGAAAAAACCCTCGAATGCTATTATTACTGTTCTCTTGGATTCCAAGTGAAACTGACTGACTGTTTTCAACGTAAAACTTTCCACAGATATGCAGCAGTTCGAGTTGTCACACTTCCTCCAAGCAGCACACAAAGCAAGAGAAGAGAGTGAAGAGAGATTCAAAAGATAGAGAGAGGTAATAAACAGAAGTGTGAGACAAAAAGAATAGTAATACGGAAGAACAATACAATTTTATGGGATGTTATAAATCACAAAGAATGAATTCGTCTTCGCCAGTGATTGAGAAAGATTTTGAGCCATATCACCAATTTTCTCCAGTCGCCATTGGTTTTTACCCTCTCGAAGATCCCAACCAGTCAGGAAGTTCACACCTCCCTACATGGCTGGCTTAAACGAACTGTTGTGGGTTTCATTGACTGATGAAGCCATGTTTTGATTTGACCATCATTAGCTCTTTTCCAACCTGATCCTAATGAGGAAGGCAATCGATGGCTAGGAATACGTAACATATGTCCTAATCCTCTCAATCTGTGTAACTTCAGAATCTACTCGATCGACTTCGCCTCCTCACCTAACACTCGACAGCTGTCCTCAACATTATTCACCCTCTTATAGCACCTAACATCGGAGATACAATACAGACACCTATGATCCAACACAGTCAACCTTCAGTGGCCATGTCTCACTCACAGCTATAAAGGAGGACATGGTGAACTGCTGAGCAGCACGCACGTCTTATCCACAATGGAGTTATACTCTACCACAGTGCCCAAGTTTTATGCTGATATCAGTACACACGTCAGTTGATCGATAGCCAGGTGGATATCATGTCTACGCCAGAGATGACGTAAGTTAGCGAATACCACGCAAGTTTTTACTGTCTCGACTGGGATTCTGTTACCAATCAGTCCCATTAGGGTTCATGAAACTTCCTAAATAAATGAAGTGGTCAATACGCTCCATCAACCACTTCACTCCCCATCTTTAAGCTAAGAACACATGGCTCTAGCAGTAAATAGACAATTCACTCTGTTTTCACTAGTTATTTTAGCTGGCTCCACAGTTGCTTTTATCTCGTCTTCACACAACCTCTTCCAGACGACAGGCTTTTGGTTGTTTAGTTCGTTCGTTGCCAGAGTTCTTTGTTGCTTATTTTTTCTGGAGGCTCTATATCCAACCTTCATTATCGAGCCTAGGTAGATGATTTTAATGAAAGTTTGCAGTAGCCTGTTGGAAATGCTTTCCATAACCCGACAAATTTCTGAACTAGACACAGAGAAGTACTGAATTGAAAATTCAGATTTTATTCCTTATGCTGAGTGCAGCAGTTTTTTCAGAGTAATGAAGATTTGTTTTAATTGTCGTCAATCTCGATTGCCTTTGACATCCTTGTGTTTGTGCCACCTGTGTTTAGAACGATGCTAACTTCATAAGCAAACGAAGTGACTTTCTTTAGATTTCTCCTGTCGATGGTGGGTATCTTCATCCTCTCTGTCTTCTCTATGTTCCACCGGAGTCCTTCCTGAGTTCGCTGCCTCTTCTGTCAAACAATTGGCAGTTACTTCGGTTGTCATCTTATAATCTTCCTTAACTAGAAGTGACTATTAATCCAATAACAGTAAGGAGCAACAAGAGCAATGATAACCATCAAGGAGGGGGGAACAGAAGGAGGGAACTACTCACTGACAGGACATGTATACCAATGAAGATATGAAAACAAGTAAACAATACACAAGATGCATCACTTACACTTCTATATGTTTCCGATCGGGATGATAAAATGTTTAAAGTATTCAAGATTTGTACAAATAAATTATGCGGCATATACAGCATACCAGATGTGGGTGTTTTATTATCAAACCCCTTCTGAGGCGGACGATTGCTTAGCTTGGATAATGTACACTGGAAGGTAATGCAGAAGAAAAGAGAGAGCTTTTATATATAACAAAACATAACGAATTACCTTTAATCGGCTACAATACAAAGTAAACTTTTCACACAAATTCATCAACTACAACCATATACCAACGAGTATTAGATAGATTTCTCGTTAAAGAGGCATTAACGACCTGTTAACGTCGACAGTTAGTAGACTTCAGTCTTTTCTTCTAGAAAAAATCCCATGTGACCAAGCGTTCATAACCTCTACCAGGTAAGTTCTACCCACTGCCATCATGCGGTAGAAAGTGTTCCTTATAAGAGTGAAAGGTCAAATCCACACATCTAGTGCTTACAACTGGACTAATGATTTCCTAGGTCCAAAATCCGATTGGAGAGCATAAGAACGCAACTCAACCAGAATTCAAGTCAAAAGCTCAGCTGGGGGTGGGATAGTTCCTTAAGACAAACACCAGCTTCGCTTTGGACGTGCTAGGTGTATCCCAGCTCTCACACCGACCCAGAGATTGACTTTTTACCACCAGGGAATAACCTCGTTGACTTAGAATATGCAGATGATATAATCCTTCTAGATGATGACATTGACAGAATGCAGAGTCTTCTGAACACCTTGAGTTGCATGCGATTCGCTACCATCAAATGTAAGATGATGCTACAGGACTGGACTACACCGACTGCTCCTAGCTCAGAAATAGGGAGTGAAGTGGTAGAGCGTGTTGACTACTTCACTTATTTGGGAAGTTGCATCAGCCAGCGCCAACGAGTTGATCGCTGACACAATCTCAGCTCAAATACAGAAGGTTCGGTTCGCATATGCCAGTTCAAAGCGTCTCTGGCGTAGATAGGATATCCGGCTATTGACTAAAGGGCGGGTGTACTGCTCATCAGTCCGCTCCGTCCTCCTTTATGCCAGTGAGACCTGGCCATTGAGAGTGGAAGACATGAAAAGATTAACTGTCTTTGACCACAGGTGTTTGCATTCTATCTCCCATGTTAAGTGGTATGATAAGGTGAGTAATATTGAGGTTAGGCTTCGAGTTCTAGGTAAGGAGGGGGGAATCAATCAACGAGATTGTGAAGTTACAACGACTGAGATGGTTAGGACATGTGTTACGTAGGCCAAGCTATCCATCGCTTTCCTCGACGAACAATGTTAGCTGATATAGGGTCTGGTTGGAAAAGAGCCAATGGTGGTCAAACCAAAACATGGCTTCACCAGTCAATGAATTCCACAACAGTTAGTTTAAGCCAGCTACACAAGGACGTGTAGGCTTCCTGATTGGGGTCTTCGGGACGGTGAAAACCAATGTCGACTGGAGACAACTGGTGATATGGCTCGAAATTTTTCTCAATAGCTGGGGTAGATGCATCCACTCCTTGTGACTTATAATAACCAATAAAACTATATTGTTCTTCGTTGTTACTATTCTTTTTGCGTTATATCTCTCTTTACTGTCTCTACTTTGCATTTACTTTTACTTTTTCTTCTCATGCTTTGTGTGCTACGTGGAGGGAGTGTGGTAAATCGCACTGCTGCACGTCGGTGCAAAGTTCTACGTTGAAAACAGACAGACAAACTTTGATTATCAGCAGAGTTTTAAACCGAACTATTCTTCTAATCGTGGAAAATACTCATTAGGACATAAAAGAAAGAGAGAAGAACAAACAACAAACAAGTCTGACCGTCACAACATCAAGATGGTATTATATCATACATATGTGTCTCTTGATATAGGCGTAATTGTGAATACTGTTCAAAATGTGAACCACAAAAACGTCAAAAATAAATGAAATACTTACTCGTAAACCAAACAATGAAGGATCTACACCCGCAGTGACAGCTGTTTCAAGCATATCTGTTGCCAGACGACAAGCTGCCTCTAAACGATTATACTTTATATAAAGTCTCAACAGATTGATAGTTCGTTCTGTGGCACATTTACTTGACACTAAGCGTAAAGTTAACCACGCAGGTAAATACAGCTGATTAGGCCGTGACATGAGTAAAATTTCACAGGCAATTAAATGCAGTTGACCAGGAGATTGTGATTTAAACACCGACGATGTGTCATTAGGGTGAGATGGATCCAGACGGGTTAAAACAACTTCTAGCAGAGACCAATATAATTCTGGTAGATTGCTATGGCTGTAAAAATAATCAATATATATATATAAGAGGAGGTAGGTTAATAACGGTGTATAATACATAAAGTGAATTATAGAAAGAATAGTAAAACGTGTACACAAAATAAGCTATTTCGATAAGTAGAAGGACCCCCCCCCGCATCTGTCTCAAGAAGACAGAGACAAACATCTTGAGTACTACACAAAATGAATAATGGAACTTAATAGCCGGGTATGCGCTACACTTATTCTTTTCTAAGGATTCGTGATACTGTCAAACTGATTGCTCAGACTGAAAAAATTAGGCAAAACTATATTCGGCGCTAGTACGCATGCGTTGGTAAGGCTGTGTTATGTACTCGTCGCTGAATTATTGTTATGGACTGGTCGAGAAACTAATAGTCCTGACGCGAGAAGGCGGAAATCAGAAGACCACTAGGTTTGCGATGATACTTCTATTGTCCAAACACAAGGAGACGAAAATAAATGGTCTCACACCAAAGTGGTAAGCAAGTCAAGTAGTTGTAAAGTAAAGTAGTTCACACAAATTGTGAATGCGAATATATATAAATAATTCAGACAAAGCGTGGGAAAAATCATTAGACAGTCTTAACATGAATGGCTAATTATAATGGAGTGTCGATCCAATTATACATAGCGAATATAGCAGACATGCCAACAACATATATGGATATATGTCACCAAGCAACGGACTGTCAACAAACACTCATATTATATATAATATAATATAAGGAGAATACACATTATTAAAGGAGACAAGTTCATACAAGTGAAGTGGTCACAGACTAACCGAGCAAACAGAAAGAGAGACCAACATGCACACACACACATAAATATATATATGTGGATACATATCAGGCTGTCTACTATCAGCGATGCTATTTCTGATTGTCGTGGACCAGAATAAAAAACAGACTGTTGGTGGAGAGTGAGAAGATGGGCACACATTAGATTGACAGCAATTATTTTTTTAGAAGATATGGACACTTCACGGATGACTTATGTATAATTTGGCACAGACTCGAAGGTCTGCAGGAGGAAATCAACATGTTGGTAGGAAAGGCAGACAGCGAAGACAGAACTCCAAGTTAACATGGAGAAAACAGATGATGACGACAATTAATCAACAGTAATAAGCACTGATCATCAACAACAGCAGAAATCGAAACGAAATCAACCTCTTTCATCCATCCTGATGGGCGGTAGCGTTTCAAGTACAGGTGGCCCAGATGAAAATTCCAAAGCCAACCAGAACCGGGAAGACAACCAAGACCTTTATTACTCTCATTATCAGTGTGAATATCCACCGCATTCAGCATAAAGAAGAAGATCCGAATTTTGAACATTCGTGTCAAGTTGGTGCTTCTCTAGGTTTTAAAGACTTGCTGTGTTACTGAACACATTCCCAAGAGACTACTGCAGACTCTCATCAACAGCTGCTCGACACAGATCAGAGAGCCAACCAGATAGGTTAGGGCAGCAACAGGGGACTCTAGCAACGAACGTACCAGAAAGCTATCGCCCTAGAAGTCTTTTCTTTTTTATGTTCATATCATGTACATTTTCTCGGAATTTTTCGGGATTTTTGGTACCGACTAAGCGACGTTCAGAGGTGCATCGATTAGGAACCGAACCCACGCTACCTGCACGTTTCCCGGATATTCTAACACTGAACCACTGAAGATTGAAGCACTACCCAATCTCCCAGCAAGAGGATGAAATAGACACACAGTGGGAATTGGACCCAAGATCCGTTAACAGTAAGTAGAGTGATTAAGACAATTTAACACGAGTTCAGTCCTAAAAGCTATTTTTTTTAATTGTTTTCCGCACTCACCACTTACACAAGAGAGCTGTTAAGTTTGGTGTTACGCATATCAGCAAAAAACATTATAACTATCGCTCATACACGCATACACACACACACAAAGAATCTTACTTTGAACAGTTATACTTTGAATAATATTGATCATTTTCATAGTTCGTTACTGATAATGTATTATTATTATTATTTCTACAAGCTCCATACTTTTCTAAATTCAATGTTGACAAAGCAGATATTGACTGTTGAACTAAATCGGTTTCATGCTCTAATGGTGATGAATCATTCGATAGACCAGGTAATATTGGATACTCACGTAAACCAGTTGAAGCGATAGAATTAATACACCGTGCTCCGGGTGTATTATTTCGATGAGATTTATAATCTCCTACTATTACGTCAATAGTAGTAGATCGTAAAGTATGCATAGAATTGAGGCCCCCACCACCGCTAGAAGCTTTACACTGAGCTAATTCACTACAACGTGAACTAATACTATGAATAATCGGCGTTGGATCAAGACGATAGGATTCACATAAGCGAACAGCTTCCTGTTAACAAAGAGGAAAAGATAGAAATTTAAAAAACACTGGAAATTTATTTGGAACACACACAGTCTCTCAAATGAGTGAAACAAATGTCGAGCGGTTGTTAGTTAGATCACTTCGATTTAGTGTTAGAGAAAGAACTCGACTGGTTGATTTGAGTCTGTCTGTCTGTTTTCGACAACTTTGCACAAATGTGTGGTAGTTTAAGTTGCCACACCCCACTCCTTGTAGCACACAAAGCGAGAGAAGAAAGTATAAGGAAATGCAAAATAGAAACAGTAAAGAGAGATGTAAGAGAAAGGAACAGTAACAACGAAGAACAATATATTTCCATTGGAAATCATAAGTCACAAGGAGTAGATGCATCTACCCCAGCTATTGAGAAAAATTTCGAGCCATATCACCAGTTGTCTCCAGTCGACATTGGTTTTCACCGTCCCGAAGACCCCAATCAGGAAGCCTACACGTCCTTGTGTAGCTGGCTTAAACTAACTGTTGTGGAATTCATTGACTGGTGAAGCCATGTTTTGGTTTGACCACCATTGGCTCTTTTCCAACCAGACCCTATATCAGCTAACATTGTTCGTCGAGGAAAGCGATGGATAACTTGGCCTACGTAACACATGTCCTAACTATCTCAGTCGATGTAACTTCACAACCTCCTTACCTAGAACTCGAAGCCTAACCTCAATATTACTCACCTTATCATACCACTTAACATGGGAGATAGAATGCAAACACTAATGATCAAAGACAGCTTATCTTTTCATGTCTTCCACTTTCAATGACCAAGTCTCACTAACAGCCATAAAGGAGAACGGAGCGGACTTCTGAGCAGTAGGCCCACTCTTTGTTCGACAGCTAGCCGGATATCACGTCTATTAAGCCAGAGACGGCGTAAACTGGCATATGCGAAACTGTAACCGTGCTGAAATTTCTCTGACGAAATCCTTGATCGATTTGAGTGGTATATAACTACTCATATCGATAAGTGAGCAGTACATAGCAATGTAATTTCTTAGTGATAAACACGCTCAACGACTTACTTCATTCATTCCCTATTTTAAAACTAGGAGTCAGTGAAGACCAGTTCTTAAACAACATATTATATTTGATATTTGAGGGGGAGGGGGTGAAAATCGCATGTTATATATGTTGTACAGACAGCTCCTCAAATACTTTTAGAGCGAAAAACTGTATTTTGTCAGTGTTTTCATGTAGAAATTAATTATGTCATCAATAGGTGGTTAACGGACTAAAGTGAATTTCACCGGCTAAATCTCACAGCTACAAAGGAGAACAGAACACATTGTTCAGCAGTACAACACATCCACACCAGAGACAACATAAATTGGTCAATGCCAAATATAAGCCTTTAGTATCCCCGCGCTGAGAGTTCGTCGGTAATCAGCCCCTTTAAGACTAAAGCGTTCAACCGTTTCTCTCCCTATCCTAAAACTAAGAGTCTGCTTAAGTGATCAGTCTTCTAGCATCATCTCACATTTCATAGGGAGGGATCAGCATGCTTAACCTACAACAGGATAAATCAATTATAATTACAAGAGCAGATAAAGGCAATATATCACGGTGGTCGTGATCACTGCAGATTACGAAAAGAAGGCCATTGATCATCTTAATGACGAACCTTATGAAAAATTCAACGTGAATAAATCAAGGGCGACATTAAATAAGCTGACAACCGAAACAACCAAAATGTTACAGTCAATAAAAAAAAGAAGCTCGGTGTATCACTTTGGTTTACTCTGGCTCCAAAAAGTTGCAGCCCCTGTAGATTTTATGGGTTACCAAAAATACACAAATCAGAAGTTCCATTACGTCCAGTAGTGGATTTCACTAATTTTCCAACATACAAACTCTCTAAATACATTTATCGAATTCTTAGCCCATATGAAATGAAAGTGGAGCATGGAGTGAAGAATTCGTATGAATTTAAGAGAAAAATAAACTTGACTAATATTGAAGAAGATGAAGTAATGGCAAGTTTTGATGTTTATTTATTATTCACGAATGTTCTCGTTAATGGTTCTTTACGTATTATTTTATAATTTACTTTGTGCTGACGACGAACTCAGTGGTCGTTTTCCTTTAAATTCCGACGAAATTATGAAGGTATTAGAATTGTGTCTTCGATCCACGTTATTTACGTTTAGAGGGGTTCTTTATCGTCAAACAGGAAGCATTGATAATGGGATCACCAGTATCTCCGCTAGTCACCAATCTGTTTGTACACTCATTAGAAACAAATGCAATTATGAGATGCCCTAGTCCTCCAAAGATGTGGTTAAGATACGTAGATGATACCTTCATCATAATCAAACGTAGTTTGTCAAATGAACTTTTTCATTTATTGAACAATATGTCAGAAACTATCAAGTTTTCCAAAGAGGTTGAATCCGATGAGAATGAGTTGGGGCTTCTGGACTGTTTAGTAAAAAGAAAATTAGATGGCAAATTAAAATAAACATTTTCAGAAAGCCGACAACTTCGAATAGATACCTAGACTACTATTCAGCTCACCCATTTACCACCAAATTAACTGTGGCCAAGGATTTGATCAACAGAGCCAAACGTCTAGTTACTCTGAGGAGGAAGATATTAGCAAGGAACTAAAATTGGTTCAATCCACTCTTGAATCAAATAACTATCCTAAAGACTTTATAGAAAGATATTTAAAATGTGAAGATAAGGATGCTGCTAAGAATTGGGTTAGTACAGCGATGATTCCTTACTGCAAAGAGATATTCGATGAAATAAAGCGAATCATTAACCACCATAACATAAGAGTGTATTTTCATGCAGTTAACACCTTACGCTCATTACTGGTGAAGGTTAAGGATAAAATAGAACAAGAAAACCAGCAGAATTGCGTATACCAGATCAACTGAGGGGATTGTAACGCCATATATGTAGGAGAAACTTCCAGACAGGTAAATATGAGAGTAAAAGAGCATAAACAATGTCTAAAGGTGGTTCCAAAGACCTCTGCAGACTTGAAGAAGCTAGAAAACAACTCAGAGATTGCACAGTATTCGATAGAGACGGGATACAAAACCGACTTTGATAAGACTAAGGTTTCATAGAAAGGTTTTGGTTCATATAAAGAAAAACTGACTGCAGAAACCCTACCTACATATATGGGTGAATTCCAATAGTTTGAACAGACGTGAAGGTGTGATGTTAGCTGATGCATGGCAAATCCTGACTAATAAATAAAATTCGATATGTATCAACAACTAGTCACACTTGGTCAAATTCCCGATTGTCTACGTCTTCTTATGGAGAGTATAACAAATGTTTTACGACTGGTCACCCACACACACATACATACACACACACACCATTGTATACTGCATTAACACATATATTTTAAGAAAAGTAGGCTAATTTTGAAAGTCTGAGGTCAAATTTTGATCACAGTTCATGCAATTTTTGTTTATTATACCTGTTGATACCTGTTTCATGATTCATATGACAGGACAAACAATTTAAAACAAGAGATGTCCTTTTACACAAAAACATACAATTTTGTTTATTATATATGTTGATGCCTGTTGCATGACTCATGATTGGACAAAATTTTAAAAAACAAGGTGTCCCTTTTATATATAAACCTCTGTTATGATTAATTTTCCTGAAGAAGTTCGGACCAGATTGCCGAACGAAACGTTGGAATTAATCATCTCAATTTCGCTGAGATTTTACAAATATAATTTTATAAATACCGGTATTTTCGCCTAATGTATTCTAAAGTCACTGCATTTTTTGAGTACCTTTAAAAGCGAAGAGTATATTACCCTGACAACAAACACATCGATTCCCTAGTCACTAAAGCCGCTTATGATAACATCCATCAATATATCTACCGAGAAATGGAATAAAAATGAAAACAGTAGGCATCCTCGACGAACACTTCTAGTTGTCATCAGCCTGGGTTAGAGCAATAAACTTTCTCGGCACTCCTCTTTACGGCCAAACATTGCCATAGCATTTCTCGTTCAACAGAATCGAATACCGCCTTCAGCCACCGTCTTTAAATAACCTCTGAAGTTATCTCATCGAGCCCCACTGTTTTACCTAATTTCAGATTACAAACAGCTTTTGTAACCTCGATTATACAATTGCAGGAATGATTTCAACATCCTATTCAGGTAAGTGTTGGGTACATTTTGTGTAGTAGTCAACTAGTTGAATTGTTGTTCAAGGGATTCCCTCCAAAAGGGCTAGTCGTCAATCCTCAGAAGTTATCAAAGTACATCGAATTACCACATAAATGGACAACCAATCAAAAACGAACTTACATCATACAACGCAACAGACAATAAACCATGAACAACTTCAATTGGTGAAAAAGCTCCAGCTCTCAACATGCCTTGTTCCCAACACGCTTGAGCCAGTCGAAGTCGTGCACGTGTCAGTGTATATACATTCAACAAATCTTTCAATGTTAGTATGCGTTTATCCTGACTACTTGTTGCTGCTGTAGGTTGTTGTAAAGAAAGTGGATTATTATGACTATTGTCGTCAGCGTCGTCGTTGTCGAGTACTCCTGAAGCATTGCGTTTCATATTACCATCATATTGACGTGAATTCTCTGTCACTTGATCCAAATTTTCACAACCTACAATAGGAACTACTCCTGTTGTCGTTGTTGCTGCTTCTGATACAAGATCATCAGGATTAGCAAATGCCCAATCACTATTCTGTTCCTATTTAATTAAATAAATGTAATTTAAAAAGATGGTCAACCACAAAATATTCTTTGCGTAAGTTCACTTCAAACCTGTACAAGTTGGTTATATAATGTTCTGAAATGTCATAGAAATGCCTTATAAACGTCAATTGTTACGCATATCAGTCAGTTGGTAACAAAACATATGAAACTACATATCAGGAAATATAATGAATAAATTATGAAACTTAGTTAGGTAAGCGATGAACACCGCTCAAATACAATTCCTATTAAAAAGGGTAAGTAAGCACTTTAAAGCAGAAATATATTGTTCGTTAGAGGAAGAAACTCACACGAATTTGAAAGGAAATAACAAGAAGGGAAAAACGAATGAATAAAGATTACACACCAAAATATTGTACAAGTCAACGAGAGGTTAAGAACACAGTAGTAATTCTGTATACACCAGAAGCGTAGGTGGCACAGTGGTTGAACTCTCGCCGACCATCCACATGGTCCGGGGTTCGAACCCACGCTGGCTCACACCTGGTATCTATGGTCGGCCTGCGAAATTTGGGCTACCGATATCCACGCTGAAAATTCCATACTTGTACCAAAAATACAGTGTGGAATCAAGCTGTAATCAAAAATAAATAATAATAAATAAGCTCTTGAGAAGCGAAGTGCATAATAGGCCGTAACCAAGGGGGATATTGTAAAAAAAAGAGGTGCGCAACAACTAATCTCCCACTACAGTTCTCAAAATAAGACAATAGACGAATTAATGAATTAATTCATGAGCGCCTTGCTCTCATAAATCACTCTGCGCCAACATAGAAAACCCCTGAAGGACATAATAATAAATAAGGTGAGGCCGAATCACTCTTGAAAGAATTTTCAGCCGCACATCTGTTCACAGCTGAATCTCTTGCTGTACAGAAGGAAAATCCAGAAATGTGCGGTTTGTTCAATTCATTTTGCTAGCGTGGCTTTACACGATTCTTTTTAAACTTCTATAATAAATTTGGTATGTAATTAATATTCCTTTCTTATTCTCAAGATCTACATCAACTACAGGCGGTTGTTGCACCAATGATGATATTAAAACCAGAATCGAAAAGACAAGACAGGTCACTCAACAGTTGATTTGGAAATCTTCTGCACTTAACCAGCATAAAGAACAAGATTCGAGTTTTCAACACCAATGTTAACTCAGTCAGTTCTTCTTCTATATGGATCAGATACTTGGAAGTACGTCAAGTAAAGAATTTCTAACAGACTGCAGACACTTCTATCGATAGCCGCCTATACTGACTCTTTACTGAAGGTCAGATAGCTTGACAAAAAGAATTAGCAACACAGAAACTTCAAGAACCTATTATTTAACAAATATGTAGAAGAAAGTGAAAATGGCTTGGATATACACGCCACTGTGGAGACCACTAAATGACATCAGGTGCTATACCCTCGAATGGGATGGGAATGGAAAACGGCAAGGGTAACATAGAGGAGATTGTGTAAGGGAGATGGGAGTGTATAGCCAACCTTAAAGCCAGCTAAAAAGAAGGACTGCAGAGAACACGGTAGAGTGAGGAAGTATTGTTGAAGCCCCATGCTCCACACGGAACCGAAGGGAATAATGATAGTAATTACAATCTTACGAATAATATTCCTGTCTCAGATGTTCGGTCTTACAACGATAATCATTTCTGAGCGATGTTCATCATCTAGTGTTTTCGGATTTCCTAAGACTATTTGTCCAAGTTTCGTTACTTGTTTAAGGATTTCATCCTATGATACGGCTCAACAAAGGAGGAAAAAAGAAAACACCTACGATCAAAGACATCAACCTCTTCTGGTTGGCTGACTGATTTCTTCAGTGTCTATAATGTGAAGAATAATTCCATCCCCCTGATTTATTCAAATAAATTATACCCTGGCTATTTCAAAGTATCCACACTTGCAGCCTAACAACGACATCAGTGCATCAAGTTCTTAATTGGCAGAATGCTCGCCAACTGTATAAGTCATCTGGGTTCGATTCCCAGCCAACACACTCTAAAGCCCTCAGCCAGAAGTAAGCCCACAAAAGAGGGGAGGTTGGATGTGGGGCTAAGAACCGTAACCCTTTAAATAAAATACCACACCTTTTAAAATTTAAAAGCTTGAAATCCCGTATTCCACTCAGAAAATGGAAAGAAACTAAAAAGGTGAATGTGACAGACGTTTACAATGATTACAAAGTACCACTGTTCAACCAGAAAACATAAAAATCAATAATACACAATGTCGTTATTTGAGTAGATTACGCTAAATCTAGTAAAATCTGTCTGCTTTCAGGTTAGATCACGAGTTGACTTCAGTTACAGAACCACTGAAAAATAAGCTGTAGTGGACAACCGTTTCGTCCTTTTCTAGGACTCATCATCACTACTCACCTACCACGAGGAATCGAACTAAAAACCTTCACGTTGCGAGGCGAACCCATTGACTATTCAGCCATTGGGACAAAATCCAGTGACCGATTCACAAATCCAAACTTCCGCGCCATTATCAGCCAATGTCATAGGGGATTATAACAGAATTAATTATAGCATAAACAAATTGACTACTTACCAAACTCTCTGAATCACTTTCCATTCCATTCTCATCTAACAGGAGAGAATCATTTGTGAATAAACCTACACATACAAGCCATTGATTCTCTTTAGGTACTAAATAAAGTGCATTGATAGCTGAAGCAAGACATGCGGCTTGACGTTGTAAACCAACTAGAATACGTGCACCACCAGAACGAAAATTATTCAATCTAGAAACAGCTAACATTGTATCCTCGATTAATCGATGAGAATGTTCAAACATAACTGACGCAGCAGAACGATAATCAGCTCGATGAATGTGATAAGCATACAAGACATCATAATAAGGATTTGAACTTGAAGTTGTTGAAGTGGATTTTTCAGCTGTAGCAGCATCTGGCAAGATGACATCAGAAGCACGAGCTCGAGCTTGTAAAATTGTAAGAAACTATGAGAAAAAGGAAAAATATGTTATCAGTGGATTTCCATGAAAGAGAACAAGTATGATCATTATTATGATGATTCGAATATCGAATTAACACAGTATGGGCACTAGGATTTTATATTTTGTAAGAAACCCAGGATACTGCCCAGGCACCCAGACCGACAAACCACCTACCCCCACCTTGAATCTTTAACTTGAAGTCTGATTCATAAGGCTACTGAGTAGCGTCCGGATCTGCGTTTCTATGGTTTCCAGTGACCAAAACGGCTTCATACGTCCTTCGATCCTTTCGAATTCTTGGGCCCATGTACAACATTGGTTTGGAATCAGGGTTTTTCAGCTCCCTTAGGTATACCAATACGTCCACTACTAGCCCAGTTGCAAGCACCAGACATTTGCACTCACCCTTCCTTTTTTGGAGGGGACACCCCCACTATGTGGAGAGAACACGTGGTTGATGCTTCTTCTGACAACTGATATTAGAGAGATAAAACAAGATATTCAAAAAAGACATTGTCTCAACGATTTCATCCTCAAAAGCTGTACAATATGCATTTCTACACATTGCGTACTTCCAATTAATAATTTTATTCAACATAGTAACGAAGGGAGATTAAAGATGGCAATAATTTTCAACTTGATATGAAAGTTCACAGGTCTGATGGAAGATGAATAACATAGAACAACACAGAAGAGGAGTATTGAAACCAAAGCGAAACAGGCTGAGCACAAAAGGAAATGGAGGGAAACAACATCTAAGAAACTTTGTTACATGGTAAATGTACAGAGGTTGCACTGTTTCCTTTCAAACACATAACTCCGGCACCTGGGTCTACGCGTACTAGACGAGAGCTTCCAAAAGCGATAGAAGTCAGAAACACACTGTCTCTGATAGATATCTATTTACGCTGAATGTTGAATCAGTTGAGATGTTCCAACAGATGTTGATAATTATAAAGCGCCACCTCTTTGAGGCTATGCTCAGCAGTGTTCTCTAACACGTTTTGAAAGGATACGTATCGAAATAATCGATGTACTTAGCTCCAAAGGAGTTGAAAATTAGTGAATCCCTTTTAATCTCTCCTCTTTACTATCTTGAATTGAAGATGAAATAGCAGGAACAATATCACTGACCGAGCTTCTGGTTTCTTCCCCTCTCTCTGGTGCCCTTATGAACATAATCCATGATATACCTTATACACAAGGAGGCTCATACATAGTAGTACTACAATGCCCAAGTTCTACTCTGACATCACTAATGCAAGACACAAAATAAAAACATCAAAATCGCATTTAAAATATCATAATTTATTCTGAAAACTGTGGAATACCAACCAATAATATACCATCGTCTCACCTCATTCTCCATTGTTCCATAATCAAAGGAAATTAACTTCTGTGCTTCACCACGATCACAAACTGTGACCACCAATTGACGTAAACAATCTCGACGCCTTAACGAATACAAAACAAAAAAAAACAACAGAAATCTCTTAACAGAGTTTTACAACCTTGAAAAACTAACCTACAATAGTAAAATGACGATGATGATGATAATGATGGTTCTATATTATCAAGCTTTGAGAATAATAATAATAATATTGATCTGATATCCCGCAATCTCATGATTATTCCCTCAAGTAAGGTAGATTTATTGGTCTAAAGATTTGACACGGAGAGAACATTAAACTACTGTCAGTTGCAAGGAGTAAATTTTTCATCAGCGAAACACTCAATCTGTACACTTCAACGCAATCCTACTACTTAAATCTGCCCAGACTGAAGTAGGCGAAATAGGACCTACTGACTAATAACGCGGGAGCTGAAATTCCTCTGAATATTGTTCACTACTATCCTATATTAATTGAATCGAATTCTAATACAAAAAAGATTATGTCGATGAGTCCCCAACTAGGACGAAACAGCTATCCAATACTACGTGCTGCTTTTCAATGGTTCTCTAACTGATATCAATCTGTGATCCAACTCGAAGAACAAATCAACTTTTGAAAAGGATTTTTTGAAAATAATGATTAAGCAATGACTTCAATGAAGAGAATCCCTCTTCTAGACGATTTAATGTGCTTAGTAGTACAATCGTATCTATACATCTACATGAATTACGACAGACAATAATTAGTTTTCTTGTGTATTTGTGTGTGTGTGGGGGGAGGGGGAGGGGTATGCTAAAATTTGACGGTTAGTTAAAATGCTAAAGTGCTACAATAATGGTTTGTAAATGATTGTGCATGACAAACTCTGATTAGAAATATAACAATGCCTTCAATTTTCATCAAAGATTGGTATCAATTAGAGAACCATTTTTGAACACTATGGCAAATTTATAGAAGTTATAATCCAAAGGCCATTGAATTCCATACCACAGGTTGAATCGCCAGCGAGTTGGTCTCGTAACCTGAAGGTATTAAAGTTCGATCCTCTGAGGTATTCATGTGTTACAAATGCCTCTAGGCATTGCCTTCATCAACGGGCAATTTCAACTAATATAGGATCAAGTTGGAAAAGACCTAGTGGTGGTGGTCAAAACAAATCATGGCTTCATCAGTCAATGAAATCCACTACAGTTAGTTTAAGCCAGTCACGTAGGAAGGTTTCGGCTTCCTGATTGGTTGGGGTCCTTGGGATAGTGTAAGAACCTATAACAGATGGAGACAATTGGTGATATGGCTCAAAATCTTTCTCAATCAAATTCCTACAAATTAACACTTGGAATTAATTAATAAGTAGTCGACACACGAAGTTCAAAAGACATGAGCGTTAGTAGACGATAGAAAAATTATTAAATTTATGCTTTGTGAATTCTGTAGCAAAATATTAAATCCAAGGTAAAATGAAAGCGAAATTATACAAATTATTTTTCTGACTTTATGTTATGTATCGCGCCAAGACTTTCACTATATATAAAGTAAGTGCGTACCAATGTTCCTTGCAGGGGATTTTATTGCACTTTGTAGACGATGTTAATAAATGCATCAGAAGTTGTCTGAGTTCATGTTATGAGCTAAAGCGCCGATTGTCTCTAGTCACCATTGGTTCTTACCATACCAAGAACCCCAACCAGTCAGGAAGCCGAAACCTCCCAAATTGGCTGGCTTAAATTAACTGTTGTGGGTTTCATTGACTGATGAAGCCATGTTTTGGTTTGACCACCACTAGCTCTTTTCCAACGACTTGATCCATCCTGTGTCAGTCAGTTAACATTGCCCGACGAGGAAGGCGATCATTAGGCATGCGTAACTCATATCTTAACCACCTCAATCTTGTCAGCCGGAATTTTTTTTTGAGGACTTCAGTCCCAGAGTTACCCCTCATAAATTCTAAGTTCAGAGTCAACACTTTCTTACATACCTTATTCAACTCTGTTTACGGTTTCAATTTTCTGTGCCTTTCATCAACATCATTTTCACTAAAACTTCTCTAGACATAGGTCACAATAGAACAGATTAAATGCCACTTTTTGTTCATAGAAATAAAACTAAAGATCAGTCAGTTGTCTCAATAGAGATAATAATAATAATAATAACTAGAACCAGTTACTCACCTGGCGACATCAGGATTACTTCGTAGATTTGTAAACGCTTTAGCATAATGACCTAGAGCTAATTCATGTTTAAACATTCTTGTCCATAAGGCAGCCTCTAAATCAGCTAAACGCGAATGTATCCCCGACTGGGCTTCTTCATCTAATAAAGAAAGTAAAAACACCATCATTGTAGGAAATGTTTTCGAAAAAAAAGACTGACTAGTGAACAAAGAATATGCCTTTTTGATAACTTCATCTTCATTGTTTCTATTAATTTATCTGTCCCTGTGGAGCCTGGTTATGTTCAAGTGTTGATTTGTAGGGATTTGATAGGTTTCAGGATTTTATCATCAACTGACATCGGTTACAGACCACTGGAAAACCTGCAGGGAGTACTGGATAGCTGTTTCGTCCTAGTCTGGGACTCCTCATCAGTACGCGCCCAAAACCCACTAGAACCCAGGATTCAGCAGGTCGGGTGTTAGGAAAAATACCCACCAATGACATTAGCTAGTGGTCACGCCATATCGTAAATTGGCAGAAGTTGGAATTCATGCGCTGGCTATTGGATCGGGCTGCAGTGGCTTAATGGTCTGCGAGCTCGCCTTGTAACCAGAAAGTCCTGGGTTCGGACCTTGGTGGTGGGCGCGTACCCCTGAAGAATCCCAAACTAAGACAAGAAAGCCATCCAGTCCTCCTAGGTTTTCTAATAGTCTTTCAGCCGATGTCATTTCATGATGAACTCCTGGTTATATTGGCTGTTGCTCTAGAAACTTTATTTTTTGTGCTAAGGAACACCTATCAGTGTGGCTAAATAAAGGTGTAGCCATATACTCAACCAACAGTTCTACATTAGATCACTTCGGAGAGTTTTTTTTCAAATTGTCAAGGGATTCCAGATACCCAACCACCTTCAAAACAGTAGAAGCCTTTGGAATTCGCCTAAAACAACCGGAGGTCTGGGTGCAGAAGAAACAGATTCAGCTACCACTAGCTAGCTACCAAAAGCCTGTTGTGGAACCTGTAAATTCATAAATTCTGTATTACTCTCCTCAATATTCAGTTTAGTATTATATTGACGCATATTATCACTTACAGACGTTTTCGAACTATAGTCAGTCTACCGATATTATTGACCCAGTGTTATTTAAAACAGCATTAAAATGTTGTTATTAGCAATAATTCTTTAACTATTATGATCATATAATTATAGAAACTGATGAAAGTGTTACCGAAAAGAATATTCTTTTTTCATTAACAGCCGTTTTGAAATTTATATTGGGTATATTCAACCAACTCTCCATGAACAATACATTATGCAATGCACACTGTCAAAATCATAAACCACATAACTAATTATTAACAGATAAAATTAAACAGAGACACAAACATTTACACACTTCTGATTTTGAAAAATAGTCTTTCAAACATTTTTATTGAATTTGAGATTTTCCCGTCGATTGATTGGACCGAAGTGCTCGGTTTCAGGTTGACATGTCGGCTTCTTGTGTAGATGCTTCGACGATGTTTGGGCATTTAATTAGTATTTAATTAGTGGATGGTGACTAGCAGTGGAATCCAGGATGCGTATTTCATCCTATTTAGGACTCGTCAGGACGAGTGAGCCGACATGTCAACCTGAGACCGAGCACTTCGGTCCAATCAATCGACGGGAAAATCAAAAATTCAATTCAATAACTAATACGACCCGTTGCACAAGAGGTGGCTCTCGTGGCCCAAGTGGTCTAGTGGATAACGCCTTGGCGTTTGAAACCATGGGTACTGGGTCCGAGCCTCGGTGGGAGTGAGAAATACAGGTATATCCAGATGACGAGTCCCGAATAGGACGAAATGCGCGTCCTGGACTCCACTGCTAGTCACCGTACACCAATTAAAGTCTTTCAAACAGTTACGTCAATCATTAATGGATCACTAGGGTGTTTCCTATGTTGCGTCTTTAATGCTGCGGCTAAGTTCTAGCAATCAAGCTTGTAATAGAATCGTCACCAAGCCATATAACTACTCATCAGATCACTCAAGTTGACTGACAAGAAGACCTGGGCCCAGAGGCTTCGTTCTTGTTACCACTCGCCAAAATTTTGAATGCCCGTTGTGAGACTTAGCAAACCCGACATCACTATCCAATGTGACGCAATCAAAGATTTTAACCAGTGAGATAATCTGGGTTAATTATTGACACATCCTGATCTGGATCATATACAGCAAGCAGTGATGATAAACTAATCCCTGAATACACACAAACAGAGAATCGACATGACTTTCATACACACACACACCCGAACAAACAAACGAAACGACAAGTAACCGTTAGACCCAACTACTCACCAATACTACCAGTTTCATTATTACCAAAATTTGACCGACTAACTGATCCACACAAGAAACGGTGTAAATTATCATTCTCCATGATTCCACGCAGACTGGCTAACACTGAAGCTAACCGACGGGAGGATGATAATGACGATGGTCTGACCGGAGTTTCTTGATCTGAATAGCTTTGTAATAATGTGTTACAATTTTTCGATTCAGATAGAAGATTCAAACAAAATTCACACAGATCAAGAACTTCTGGTACATAATTGGATAGTTCGAAGATGGACATCAACTACAGTGGAGAAACAGAGAGAAAGAGAGAGGGAAACAGTGAGTGAAAGGTTACGTGTTATGTATTGCATCTGTATAATAAGAGGTTAAATAATGACTTGAAAAATATACATGACTGTTTTTAAAACAAAAATATAACGCGCTATCTCTAACTCTTTCTCTTCGTTATTAGAAGCTACTCATCGCGACATGGATGGCTTGCCCGGACCAGCTGTCAAAGACTTCACGAATTGATGAAATGTTTTAGTTTGGGTCAGGCTCTCAACTCTTTTCCCATCTAATCCTATGTTGGCTAACCATTGCTCGTCAAGGAAGGCAATGGCTTGGCATGAGTGAGTAATACACGCGTCCTCCTATTCACATGAACAGATGTACACAGTTTCACAACCAAATCGATTGACTTACCCATCCCTATACGTTCAACTTCAATACGGAAGACAGAACGCCAACCATCTATTGTCGAAGATAGCAGCAACACTGGCAACTTAGCGTCTAACTTTCTAATTGATTATGTCATTCCATATATTCATTTACTTATTTATTTAAACGCAGAAAAAACTTAGTACAAAATGGCACCAAGAAAGATGCGCCAGACTTGTGTGAGGCCTGAGATACTGTCCCGGGCGCCCAGACCGAAGCAGGTGGTTTTATTAAGGGGCCATCCCCCCACGAGTCTTTGACTTGGAGTCTAATCCGCAAGGCAGTGGAGCAGCGTCAGGAGCTGCATTCCCATAGTTACCGGGGTCCAATTCAGCTTCATACGCCATTGATCCGACTGGATTCTGGAGTCCATATACCCCATGGTAACTGCTTTTAGTTTAACCACTATTCAAACAACCTCACTGACATGGTATGACCTGCAGAAACATTTTTTATTACAGCTTGATTCCACACTGTATTTTTGGTACAAGTATGGAATTTTCAGCATGGATATCGGCAGCCCAAAGTTTCGCAGGCCCACCATAGATATCAGGTGTGCGTCGGCGTGGGCTCGAACCCCGGACCATGTGCACGGTCGGCGAGAGTCCCAACCACTGTGCCACCGACGCACAGAAAAAAAAACAACCTCACTGACATGGTATGACCTGCAGGAACATGAGTTCCAGCCAGTTAAGCTTGTTGGATCACTGCGGTATTCAAGCCCGACCACCACGGCAAAGTAGCAGTTGTCGGCCGGGCCTTCTACATATATGTTATTAAGTCTGTTTAACACTCTCAAAACAGACTAGTTACGTCATCATTTATTAATGTATATAGAAAGTTTAATTAAGAAGACCCTAGAAGAAAACTGACCAAAACAAAAGAATAATGAGCAGAAATAAACGGAGGAAAGAAGAGTAACCAACCTTCATTAAAAATCGTATTTGTACTTCATCCGGAGACAGAGAATACGCTGATACTGCCCCTGTAGAACCAGTTGTTCTATTCAAACAGAATAATTTGGCTAGAGAGAATTCTTTTGGAAAAAGAATTGGTATCAGAAGTTTTGGTACAGTATTATTCATTGAGGATTCTGTCATTGTGATGAAAGATAATACCTGTGCATAATCTCTTGATTCTTTTTTAAGATTATTAATAAATAACCGAGTATAATGATACAGCCAATTTGTTGAAATAATGAAATGTTTTTTAGCCTGTCCAGATTCACTAAAACAAAATAAATGAAAAAGGATATGGGCATGTTTAAGAGGTGGTTTTTAGGCATTTGATTTGATCACGGATTGAGTTTTATGAGTTTTAGAGGATCATTTAAAATCAGGGAGTATTGCGCACAGCCGTCTCGCCCCAGTCTGAACCTCTTCGGATACTCTCAAAAGTTAACCTGGTGCTCTTTACTGACTGGCTTCAGGACGAAGTCGCCTCGAGTTCTACTCAGAAGTAAGTCATGGGGTCCACTATGTCGGGATTGAAGACAAATAAAATCACCAGCGACGATATTGGCTATTAGTGGTAGCGCTAAAATCACGAATTAGTAGGAGTTAGAATTCATGGGCTAGCCACTGAGCCAGGTCCCATTGGTCGAATTGTATACGAGCTCGCCCTGTATTTGGAATGTGCTAGGTTCGAAACCCGGTGGGTGCATGCTGTCGGTGATTCCCGAACTAGGGCGAAGCAGCTGTCCAGTACTTCCTGGTGGTCTTCGCTGCTTCTCTAACTGATCAAACTTGAAAAATATATGTATGTATAAAATGGCATGAGAAAGAAACACAGGCAAAAGCTACCGAAAACTATGGAAAGGTTTGACTACATATACGCGGGATGAGGGTTCTAACACAAGGTTTGAAACTACGGGTTCTAGATACATGTGTCTTGGGGAACCCAGAAAACGACAGTGTTCTATTCTTTGGTATACAGTAACAAAAACTATCAACTATTAATCGGTCCTGAAGCTTGAGTCCCACCTTATCTACTGTAGCCCAGGAAACTGGATAGTATCACCAACTCTCTAACAGTTACAAGTGTCGCTCATATAGCCTAGAAGATGAAAAGTCTGTTCCACATTTGTGAGATAATCGAGTCGGACGGAAAGCTCTTCTAGGTGGTATACACAGGCATTTAGAAACTAAATTGACCCCAAATGTATACTTTTGACAGATGAAACAGAGATTTACCAGCTCGGAGTGGTCAGTCACAGGGTCAATACGTACAACTTCAACCTCAAAGATGTGTAAATTCATCAGCAAACCGTTTTGTTCTTATTACCAATCGATATCAAACATCAAGACTACTTATACTATGGTTATGCTATTTTTAAGATTTCTTATCTCATAAGTGGGGTCAACTGATCTAGACTTTGTTAGGTTTTAGTGCTCTGTTTAGTTCAACCGACTACGTTCTACTTACTTTGGCTTACTTTATTTATTTCACCTCACAATCATTGCAGGGTATCAGATAAACTAAATTATTTTGTTAATTAGGCTCCACAGAAATCTTCAAACAACATGATTTGTTTCTAAGTGAGTTTGTAGGTTTCGAAACCACTTTTATTCCTCTTTCGTAAAGAATTCCTCGCAAAGTTTCAGAGGTTCCTTGTTTGTATAGAGAGAGAGACAGACAGACAGACAGAGAGGGTGATAACTGGGACTTCATTTATCTGCCGAGCTGAAAATATTCGCGGGATCGGAATGATTCAGTACCTATTCCGGGCATCTGGAAAATCCTACTACCCCTACGTGTCCCAGGTGAGAATCCCACTTCATCTACTTCCATAAATCCTTCATCAACTTGATTGTATCAACAGACGCTACACACTTATAAGTTTGTTTTATAACCTGAGTTTAGATTAACTAGCTAACATGATTAATTTATTTCCAACATGATTATCTTGAAGAAATGTTATAAAAAATATGCCCATAAGAAAGAATGCTACTTACTAATAGAAAAAAAGTAGTACAAACGCTAAAACAGAAATAAAATAGAAATCAAACTTACCCTAACCATAATTTCGCTAAACCAATGCATAAATGAATGAAACTGAAATCTTTATTCCACCACCAAGAAAGTAGTCCACCATGACCATCGACAATCTCCGCACTGTCGTCATTGTAAGCCTCATTATCGGCAGCAGTAGCATTTCGAAACTCTGATAAATAATCATATTCTACATCCATTTTGTTGGCAACAGCCAATAGTGGTTGTTGTACAAATTGTCTGCTTCGACAATCTTTTCTACCATCTAATGGTAGAAGAAGATTACACAATTTGATCACTTCATTATACTATTGAAAGAGAGACGGGGAAAAACAAAAACAAAAATATTATCAAATTGTGCGCATATTGCCAAGATGGCGAAAAAAATGTCTGACTGATAGGCGAATGTAGAGAGAGATCTGCACAGAATTGAATCAGTGCAAAGGTGCCACTCTTTGAAGGTGATACCAACATTAAGAGAAAAACTAGTATTCGGAGGGTGTGGAATTTTGAGATATGCAAATTCCCTAATTAACCGCCTGAGTTTCAACATAGAAGTTTGCACAGAAATGCAGCAGGAGTTCAACTTGTCACACTTCATATACCCCACGAAGGCAGAGAAAAAGAAAGAAAACATGAAATCCAAAGAAGATAAAGTGAGCAGGAAGAATAATTACTTAATCGATCTGAGAGGTTGCACAGAGTGTATGTACCTAAGCCACTACGAACGACTTCGAGTCATTCCGAGGCATGTGCTACTGAAAACACTTATCAGTAGTATATATATATATATATAAAGAGATGTTCATCGGGACTAAAATATCAAATAGTAGGGAGATACATGTGTTGTCAGAGGAAGCAAATGATACACAGTTGCGGAGAAACATGGGAGACATGAAAAGGAAGACAAAGAAACACAATATGAAGGAAGGCCAGCGGCGCAACATGGAAGATCTGTGCAAATGGTGGGTTGAAGATGAGGTGTAAATAATTTGGCGATATTGAGATATCAACTTGAAAAATTCACATTCCTTTCGCAATTCTTTCGTCTTCTATGGTTACAGCACCATCAATACTCTCAAACCATTGGTCCTTAGCATCCCAAGAACTCCAAACAGGCAGTCTACACACACACACATATATATTTGGCCGGTTCAAACCAGTAGTGAGACTTCATAGTTTTGTTTTGACCAGCCTAACTTCTTTTTACAATAATACTATATCGGCCAACATTTTTTGTCAAGGAATACCATGTCTTGGCTTGCGCAGAACACGATGTAGCTTCATAACCTCATAGATTAACTTCTCTTATTAACCTAGTGCTCTCTACACCTATCCTTAGTATAACCAGGATGTTATACTGTTTAACATGGGAGACAGAACGTAAACATTTGTCATCAAAGACAGCTATTCTTCTCATATCTTTCACTTCCAATGACCATGCCTCGCAGACATACAGAGGAACAAAGATATAGGGTTACGTAGTACACATCTCCATTAGAAAAAAACAACTGAAATGGACGACACACTCTACCAGCTCAGTCCAGTTCTTCATCATCTCAGATTTTACAAGAGCCTTTCACCTGCCAAACATTCGAAGATTTCTGCTTATGATGTTTAAAAGACTGTATTTTATTAGTGTCTTTAACAAGGAGTCTACAAGACTGTCCCTGCTCCTCCTCCTCCTCGTAACAAGTCGATCCTTGAATGGCTGAAGTTAGTTGAGATCAATTCTATTAATACATTTATGATGAAATTAAACTAAAATGGGGATATTAGTGGTCATATTATATTGCGACCATAAAGTTTAACAATTCAAACTACCCTTCGATTAGAAGTGAGGAACTACATCAACGCTAAGCACGATGTACTTCACCAAATGGTAAACTTTCCTTATCTGTATATCTGTTTCAATAGAAACTTGCAGTAACCAAACCAACACGGCAAAAAGACGGCAGTTTAATGCTTTCATTCATGTTTAATCCAGTTTAGATTTTCCCCATCGATTGATTAGAACGAATTGCTCGATCTGAGGTTGACATATCGGACCCTTGTTCAGATGCTTCGACGATGTCTAGTCATGTGAACTGAAGTCAGCTGAATAATGCTCTGGCGTTTGAAACTATGGACACTAGGTTCGGGTCTCGGTGGGAACACCATCCATCATTCACTGACTAGGGAATGCATGTACATCCAGCTGGTTGATAAGTCCCAAATAGGGTAAAATGTGCATCCTGGTGCATTTCACTGCTAGTCACCGTCCACCAATTGACTTCATTCAATCATTCATGAGGTTTAAAAAAATCTTAGACACTATGACAACGCTATTGAAGATAGTTAGCAACTAATGGGTAAATTATCTATCCCATGAAGTATTTGACTGTTGGTTGGTTGTATGGCTAAGGTCCTCGCACAGGATGCTAAGAACCATTGGCTTGAGACTATTGTATATATATATATGGATCAGAATAGCTGACAATGCCATAGATACTTTCACTGTTTACTATCTTCCATGTCCACTGAACGCTTGTTTTTCTTCTCTTTCTCCCGGATACTTCTACTTGTTATATACTTCTATTGAATACCTTTTTTTCTTATCTTGTGTGTGCTATATGGAGTAATGGCAACTTGAAGTGCTGCTGCACACTCTTGTGCAAAGGTCTACGTTGAAATTCAGTCAATTATTATCTGTCCCAGAGGTAAAAAGAGACCTCAAATAGCACAAATATATTTATATATTTACTTTTTCAATTTCAATATTTTCAAAACTTTCAATACTTCATTACCTCCTCTTTCTCCACTCTTCATTTCCTAACACAATTTCTATTCTTTACTTTTAAAGTAGTCTATACTGCACTTCTGGACGAAGTACAACACCACCAATCTAAGCGGTAAGTATTCCACAGATTTACCAAAAGTCACAGGTTCCAGTGACTTCATCAGATATTGACGAGAAAAACAATAAGGGGGTTGTCAGTTTCTGACTGAGTCTCAACAACGAACTTTGTGCAGAAGTGCAGGACTTTAAGTTGCCACACTCCATGTGGTACACAAAAGTGGACAGAAGAAAGAAAAAGATGCAAATGAAACATGAGAAATTAATGGACCTGAGTGAAGGTATCTCCACCATTGAGAACGTCTGATCACAGATTGATATAAGTTAGGGAATTAATGGAAACCATCATGGAGTACTGGACAGTCGTTTCTTCCTAGTCGGGGACTCACTGGTAGCACACAAACACCCGTCAGGTTTCGAACCCGACACCTTCCGAATACAAGGCATTAGGACCTGAATCAATGGCTAGCCCATGAATTCTAACTCCTACTAATTCGTGATTTTAGTGCGACCACTGCTAGTCAATGTCGTTGCTGGAGAGTATTTGTCTTCACTTCCGACATAGTGGACCCTATTGCTCACAACTTCTCACTAGAACTCGAGGCAACTTCGTCCTGAAACTACCAGTTACTACTAAGCACCAGATTAATAATCATCACCATCAACGTGAGGGATTTGAAAGAGGTCACTTCATTCACTTATCTAGGGAGCATTGTCTCAACTACATACAGGCAGTTGGAACGGACGAGGATGTCAAATCGAGCGAGAATCGGGAAGGCGAGAAACACATTCATCAACCTGAAACCAATCTGGAAATCTTCGTCACTCAGCATCAACATCAAAATTCGGTCGGATTTTCGATACAAACGTCAAGTCAGTTAGTTCTTCTATACAAGTCACAAAGAATATTTCCAACAGCCTGTTGCAGACCTTCATCAACCAACAGCTGTCTTCGCTCTATACTGAAGATCAGATGGCCAGGCCGGAAAGAATCACCAACAAGGAACTATGGGAACAAACAAAACAAGAACCAATCGCTGAGGAGGCCGCTGAGTGACATCGCGCGCGCGTCAGGCCATTGCTCGAGTGGAACCAGGCCGAAAGGGAAGCACACGGTGAGTGGGACGTCAGTGCAAGGGTGACATGGAGGAGATCGTGTGAAGAGGAGTTGAAAGAGTATGGACTAATATGGATGCAGGTGAAAAGCACAGCAGAAGACAGAAGCACGTGGAGACGTGCAGTTGAAACCCTGTTCCACTAGAAACCCAAGGGAATAATAATAATAATAATTTTGTGGGTCACTGATTCGACTCCCAGTGGCTGAACGGTCTAAGAGCTTAACCTTGTAACAGGAAGGCTCTGGGTCCTAAATCCGGTGAATCCCAAACTAGGATGAAACAGCTGTTCAGCACTCCATGCCGGTTTTCAATAGTTCTCCAATTAATATCAATCCGTGATCAAACTTGAAATAAATCAAACGCCTAAAAAGCAACTCTTGAAAATTTCGAGAAATATCACCATCAGTTTCAGGTCAGTGGTTTTTAGCATACCTAGGACTCCGACCAGGGAGTTTGTATGATTATCAAAATGTTTGTATTACTGTGAATGAATTCAAATCCGGTTAGTCATACATCCACTCACTCACTCGCTGTCTGTCTGTCTGTCTGTTTTCGACATAGAACTCTGCACATATGTGCGGCAGTTCAAGTCGCCACACTCCCTCCATGTACCACACAAAGCAAGGGAAGAAAGTAGAAGAAATGCATAATAGAGACAGTAAACAGAGGTGTGAGACAAAGGAATAGTAATAACAAAGAACAATATAGTTTCATTGGGAATCCTAAGTCATAAGGAGTGGATGCATCTGCGCCAGCCACTGAGAACGATTTTGAGCCATATCACCAAGTGTTTCCAGTCATTGGCTTTTACCGTCCCGAGGACCCCAACCAAGAAGTCTTCGCCTTCCTTCTTCACTCACCGACTCATCACTTGCAATCAACTGCATAACTCTACAGTCAAATGTGATAAACTCATGTAAATAAAATATCAATGACGACAGATAAATAAATAAATAGGCGTTGAACTTACATGTCCACACCATAACAACAACCAAAATACAAACACAATCCCCTGTCCACCACCAATTGTTGGCGTTAATAATTTTGAATATTCCGCTAGAATATAATCAGTAAATTCAAGCCAATCTGTAGGTGATAAATTGGATGCTTTCAATGAGAATGATGGAGAAGAAGAAGAATTAGAACAGGACTTCAACCAATCCCAATTAAGCCATACCTGTTCAAAGATAGTCATACCAGCAGTTTGCTTGACAATTACTGATGATAATGATGACGGTGGTGAAGAAGTGAATCTATGCTTGAAACTTGAGCTCAACTGTTTACCACCACCAGGCAGTATAAGATCATGAATTCCAAGAATGTTCAAATGATCTCTAATAATCGATCTGAAATTTGAAAGAAAATAGGATTAATCTATGGCCTAATAATAATAATAATAATAATAATAATAATATGAATCATCAATGATCACATCACTCGTTAGCAATAGCCTTAAAATCTCAAATTATGAGTTAAATTCTAGGTTAAAAGACGAACAGAAGTTGAATCAGAAAGTACCAAATAGCTTCTCATGTCATAGAAAACTGCCCCATGTACATTGGTGAATATCTAACAACTCATACGAAATGCGAATCAACACTTAAGATATTTTAGATTCAAATGAAATTGAACTGACACTCTTTTGATTTTAAAAATGTAAACAAACTGACTTCATGAAATACTCAGTCGACGGTTGTTTAGTAAGACGATGAATTACACCAAGGACATCCATCGGTAGGCATATAACCCGGTTGGTATGCTGTTAACTTAGAGGAGTTCAGTGAATGTTCAGAAAAGAGCAGACGATGACTATAACTGTGGGAAAAGTTAGCACGATAAAAGCTGTAATCCATGATCTCTTAAATAGTTCCTTCAATTCGAAATGCTACTATTTGGATCAAATGCCGATAGTCACATGCACACAAACATACATTTTGTGCACAGAACAGATTTCGAAACCTAATGGCTCTTAAAACGTGTATGAGAAACACTGAATTCAGGATGTTTACAACTAGAAAGTGATGAACAGTATGTATGTCAGATGAACAGGAACTTTTAAAAAGTTCGTTTGTAAGGATTACATTTGTTTTTATGAGTTTGATCATGGATTGGATATCAGTTAGAGAACTATTGAAAACCAGGGAGTACTGGACAGCTGTTTCATCCTAGTTTGGGAATTCGACAAAATTAGTCTGATGCTCGCTAGTGACTTGCTACAGGACGGAGTTTCCTGGAGTTCTGACCAGTGAGGTTCAAACAGTCAAGTGTGAAGATGGATGTCCCACTGATGAAATTGGTTGGCGCCAGTCGCACTAAATCACGAATTGATAGAAGTTAGAATTCATGCACTGGCTGGCCAGAGAATCAGGTCCAAGTGGCTGAATGGGTCTACGAGGTTGCCATATATTCGCAAGGTGCCAGGTTTGAAACCCGTTGGGTGCGTGCTACCGGTTATTCCCAAACTAGGACGGAGGAAACAGCTGTCCAGTACTCCCTGGTGGTTTCCAATAATTCTCTAAGTGATATCAATCCATGGTCAAACTCTGAACAGGAACTATCAAAGACTAAAGCATTCTGTGAAGCCGTTTAGTATTACATTCCACAATGAAAAAGTAACAATGGGTATTATTATGTATACCGAGTTTATAGATAGTAGCAACAAGCTTAAACTCCCCGAATATGAGTTGCTTTTTAGATAAAGTGTCTAACGGATACTGAAAGAAGAAATACACCCTGTATAGATTTTGATGTCACGCGTACGGAATAGGAATCTCTGTGCTGAAGATATGTAGATCCGAACGAAATTGAACTTGGATACCTTTAATTTCTAAAGTGTGCACTGACTTCATGAAATACCTGAATGTTACTCAACAATCACTTGCGATTCCATGCATTTGACAGTAAGTCACACGTATTCTGTGAGGGCTAACAACTGCGTAAACCTAAGTTGGTGGAATGGGGGCTTCAAGAGCCCGACCAACTTGATTGGTAGATGAGCGCATCAACACTGATGAGTTACAGTCCCAACCTAATCCGAATAATTCGTTTGGTAAGATGATGAAGAAAGATACCAAAGATATCTAACAAATAGTAAGAATATGAACCAGTTGAAAAATAGTGACGAAAACTCATCTACCTTAAAGCTAAGGTACAAAATAAAGATAAATCAACCTTGACCAGCTAGAGGAATTCAATGAACCTTCTGTCCACAAAAGAGAAGATGATGGTTACGATTGTACAGAATGTTAATAGGACAGAATCTCAGATTCATACCTTCCATTTTTTCGCCACTGTTGTTTTCGTTCCAAGTAGTAGACACGTAGGGGGGAGGGGGTCTTCAAGCTTGAGCTATGGAAGTATTAGTAGTGGTGAGGCTGCTAGCACCACACACCCAACCTTCCTACTTTACTGGACTTAGGCGAAGATTAGGAGGATATCGGTCCGAAATCGAACCCAGACCACCTGTTTGGTTACTGAGCATTGGTATCACTGAACCACTAATTAACTCATCCTCATTGTCATCACTTTGATCAAATACTTACACACGCATAATTTGTGTATAGCAACTGATTTTCAGACCTAATGGTCCTGCATAAATGTTCTTCACATAGAAGAGATATCATTTGGAAGTGACAGATGAAAGCTGAATTCGAAATATCTCCTAGAAAATAATGAACATTAAGTCGGTTGAACAACATCCTACCTCTACCCAACCCAGAAAAACGGTAGTTACAGAAGGTGCACCGAAGAAGTGTACTGTAAAAGGGTGCTTGCATCAGCCCAACCTTAGTTTCTAAAAAAAGGTGGAACATCCTCACGGAAGAAAGACTAGTAAGTTATTGGTACACAATGAATTTTTCCAAGTGATTTGACATTCACACAGAAAATTTTGAATATCACATGTAAAAACTGTTGGTTCGTTGGGATTTGATTGGTTACAGGATTACATCATGAGCTGACATTAGTTAGAGAATCATTGGAAAACCAGTTGGGAGTACTGAACAGCTGTTTCGTCCTAGTTTGGGACCCTTCATCAGTATGCACCCACTGGGGTTCGAACCCAGGACCTTCTGGTTACAAAGCGAGCTGGTATACCGTTAAGCCACTGAGACCCGATTCAATAGCTCATGAGGATGGATGTCCCACTGACGACATTGGTTGGTGTTCGCCCTACATCACGAATTGGTAGAAGTTAGAATTCATGTGCTGGCCATTGAGGAGTCGGGTCTCAGTGGCTTAATGGTATACGAGCTCGCTTTGTAACCAGAAAGTCCCGGGTTCGAACCCCGCAGTGTGGGTACGTACTGTTGAAGAGTTCCAAACCAGGACGAAACAGCTGTTCAGTACTCCCAGGTTTTCCAACGGTTCCCTAACTGATGTCAGCTCATAATGAAATCCTGTAACCAAAAAACTGATTGATTTATCTCTTCCAGATGACACCATAAAACATGGATGGGAAACTATGGCGTCATCAGCTGATAACTAGCCATTTTATGTACACATCTCTTTGCCACTGAGTAAATTTTCCTAACAATCAAAACAACGACAAAACAGAAGTCAACACTAACCCTTACTTTCCTCAACTACAAATATAAAAGAGAAACAATAAACTAGATTGTTCATATTTCGTTTTGACAACAACTCTGAAACTATTACAAATAAAAGCATTCGGAGAAGTTATTTAGTCTGACACACCTTGGCAGGGAATTCACCCGACACCCACTTGCGATTAAGAATAGAGTCACTAACGTATTTGGTAGACGGTGATTAGCAATGGAATCCAGCGCATGCGTACTATGCCATGGCTAAATTGGCCTAATGGATAACACTTTGGTGTTTAATATGATACGAGTGCTCGAAAAGTCTTTGCTGCACATCGGTGCAAATTTCTGTGTTGTAAACAGACAGACAGACAGAAGACATAGGAAGGACCCATTGATCTCTGCAAGCTGATCATAGAACAAATAAATTCGTCGGACTCAATTAACTTTGGGAAAAAATATCCAACATATTCTATTGTAGAGCATATTATAGAGGCGGGTCATGAAACCAGTGTCATTGGTGCTTTTAATTCCGTGTATAAGATAGGTTTAGACCGTGTACTTAAAACCCTTAAATATTAGATATAAAAAGGTATTTAAACTTGTTGTGTTCAAATATTACTTGTTATTATTCTGAACCTGCTTTGGTAATCTCAATTCAGAACTAAGGTTAATTATACTTAATCATACTTAACACCCACCCTCCGTTTTTATTTCATGCTTCTCATCTGTGATCGTGATCCGTAAACATTTTGACCTGTTGATAGAATTTCAATCCTTTATGCGCTATTAGTTTTTATACAAATGTACGAAAGGTAAGTGTTGGTCCGGAATGCGTTATATGAAAGCATATGTGTCGGTGACACAGTGGTTAGCATGCTCGCCGACCATACACATGGTCCGGTGTTCGATCCCCTGTCGACGCACACCTGATATCTATGGTCGGCCTACAAAATTTGGGCTACCGATATCACATGCTGAAAATTCCATACCTGTACTAAAAAATACGGTGTGAAATCAGGCTGTAATTAAAAAAAAATCATCACTCACTGAGGGATGCAATTCAGGTACATCCAGCTGACGAGTACTAAATCAGACGGAGTATACATCCTAGATTTCATCGCTCACCCCCTTCTACTAAATAACACCATATTAATCCTCAGATATCGTCGAAGCATCCGTACTAGAAGCCGGCGCATTCATAGAAGCTGAAACATTCTTTTTTTTATTTCCTTCACATTCCCAGTGGAGCATAGGGCTTCAAGCTGGAGGCTTGAAGTTTCTGTAGCAGTGTTTAATTTTACAGGATAGGGTTACTAGCCTCGTGTCCAAACTTTCCTCTTTACCAGTCTTATTAGTGGATAAGTGAAGTAAAGGAGTGAGTCAGCCGGTGACCGAACCCCGGACCATGTGCATGGTCGGCGAACATGGTAACCGCTGTGCCACCGACACACTGAAACATTCTAGTCCGATATAATCAATCAAACAATGGAGAAAACAAAAATCAACTTAAAACGAATAAATAAGTAAAGAATCATCAAGTTTAACAGCGGCCAGATGACATGACTTCATTATGACGATAGAGTTGTTCACTGGGAGGGATCAATGATTAGAGGGTGTGATGATGTGGGTAACTGAAAGTCTTCAATTATAATGTGATACACACTTAGTGGTTAATCACTTAACATAGTCACTGAGTGACACACGTCCATAAAATGAGGGTGAGACGGGTGGGGAGATTGGAGGAACACATTTATCGCTGTTCAGTGACCGACAAACACAAACCTGTGTGTACAAAACAAACAAACTTACAATTTATCCATATCAGGTGTTGGTCGTACACGAGTAATCGTTAGTGTACGCAAAAATCCAAGACTTTGTATTAATGCTACAAGTCTACATTTAGTATTATTATGCCAGGAAATATCAATATCAGCACAGTCGACATCCACTTCTTCATCACCGTCACTATCACCATCACCATCAACATCAACTACAGTATTTGCGTCCCAGCATCATCATCATTATGGCTATTTTTTCTCTCACGACGATGTTTACCGTGTAGTTTAATTAAACCATTCGATGCAAGTTCATTACGTCGGATTAAAATTAACAAAGCAAATGTAAATAATATACGTGTTTCTGTAGTATTAAAACACAATTGACGTAAAAATTCAACACAGGAGTTTGATACAGCTTCCATAAACCGACTACTACTATTTCCTCCATGATCACCACTACTACCTGCTGTTAATGACTGTCTCCGGAAACCAGCAGTAAGTGAATCTACAAAATGAAAAAAAAGGAAAATTTGTTTAGAAAAAGACTGGAATCACCTTTGTCTGAACACTGGAGAGAGAGAGAGAGCAAAGAGATGATTTTGCATTAATTTTCGTCAAAAAGTTAAAAATGACATTCCCTAATTATCAGAACACTGGCGTTTATCTCATCTGTACAACTTGCCGGAGATACGATTTTGATTACGCAACGCTGGTTGAGCTAAGGATCAGTTTTACAGTTGACAAATGATCGACGGATGTGTACAAGGATAAACTGCCGCCACTTCGGGCCACTTCACAATGTACGTTTATAAATTCACTTTGTCCTGGAGAGCTAGTTTATATTGGCTGCATAAAGCGTACACTTTCCAAACGCATCTCTGAAGATTATCTGACATGGTTAGCAAAAAGACAATCGAAGACAGTTAATAGCTCAATTCTCGAGCATTTGGTGAACTCAAGCTACGCAGTTCCACTGGAATCGTTTTTCAAGATTATCTACAAGGTAAAACCAAGTGGTGTAAAAGGTAGTTAGGTTTCGGTATTTGTCTATAGTGGAGGCGTTGACAATTCGTCAATACAACACCGAACTCTATATTAGGAAAAAGTTTGTCCAGTCTCATATTCTACCATGGTCTTAACCTCTTCATTAGTCGTTCCCTGTAAATTTTTTTTAATTTTTAATGATTGGTTTGCTTTTACTTTGATAAGTGATTCGCTATTATCACTTTCACATGTTCTTCTCGTACGTTTTCTCACTCTTTTCACACTTGTTAAAAGGATACGCAACTGTCTCTCTTCACACTCAATAACAATTTTAACCTTAACAAATTTCTATCGCTTCCTTCCTTTGTGCCATGGTTGAGTATTTTTTTTTCCTTCACGTTCCCCAGTGGAATATAGGGCTTCAAGCTAGTAGCTTGAAGTTTCTATAGCAGTGTCTATTTTACAGGATGGGGTTGCTAGCCTCACGCCCAACCTTTCCTCTTTACCAGCATTAATTCTGGCTTAGCGAGGGAAAGGAGTGAGTCGTCGGTCGGGGATCGAATCCCGGACCATGTGCATGGTCAGCGAGCGTCCTAACCGCTAAACGACCGACGCACAACTGTTGAGTATAACATAATTTGTAACTTATACTTACTTTCGAAGCCACTTCTGACAATAATTATATCAATTATGTCATCCACCCACCTCCTATTACTCAATAATGAACTACTATTATACATTTTCGGTAAATATAAATACAACTGTACAGCCTGTGAAGACGATTTCGTCGATAAAGAAAATTTTCTCTGCTGAATTGTCTTTTATTTACTTTATGACTCAATGGGTATTTTCGATTATATAAAATACACAGGTGTTTGCCCACACATCATATTCTCTTCTTCTCTGTTGCCGCCTGGTTGCTATCATATAAAATAATTAATCATATCTTCTAGAAATCTACAGGAAAACTACATTCTCGTTAAAGAGAAGAATCGACCTGATACGGTGAAAAATGGAAGGACGTCCCTTTTCTTCTTCTTCTTCTTCTTCTCAAAATGCTCCTATATGGCTACACGTTCATTGTCTTTGTCAGGTAAGTCCTAATCACCGACTCTTCATGTATCGAGAGTGTTCACATAAATTGAAATGGCGATTGTGAACGTCTCATGGCTACAGCAAGACTCCCGAATACGCTGGTTCACTACCTGGGAGATACTGGAAAACCTTAATCCAAACCTATAGTGAATACAGGAGTAAGACAAGCCTGGTTGTCTATTATCACCGATGATATTCCTAATTGTGGTGGACTGGATTATGCATCAGACTGTGGGGGGGGGCGAGGAGTGAGGGATACGCTGGACCACCGATAAGAAGACTCTAGAAGATCTGGATTTCACGTGTTGAGATATATGTCTAATGTCACACAAACTCGAAGAATTGCAGGCGAGTGAAAACCAACAAACTGTCTGAAGAAGTAGGTAGCGTAGACAGGACTCGAGGTGAGCACAGAGAAGACAGATGTGATGAAGATCACCAACCAACAACAACAACCAGCGCACCAATGGGAGAGATTTCACAAAGGTTACTTCCTGCCTTCACTAATCAAGCAAGGAAGTACGGTTTCAGCCACACACACACAGTCGGACAGCACGGATGAAGATGTCAAAGTCATCCAAAATCGGAAATGCAAGATACGCCTTCATCAACCTAAAATCAGTTTGGAAATCTCCTGATGTCACTCACATCCAGCCAGCATAAAGAACAAGATTAGGATTCTCTTCAACACAAATGTGAAGTCAGTCAGACAGACAGTCACTACTTTCTATACAGCCCAGAAATTTAGCCAACGCGTCACAAAAATCACTTTCAACAGAATACGACAGACTTATCAATAGCTGTCACCTTCGCTGGCTAGCTGCATACTGAAGACCAAATGGCCAGCTGGCTCACCAGAAAGAATTAACAACAAGAAACTCTGGCTGGCAACAAACCAACAGGCGAGAGTCGATTGTTGAACAAATATGCAGAAGAAAACAGAGGTGGATAGGGCACACGTTGATGAGGCCATCCAATGACACCGAGCACCAGGCCCTCAAGTGGAATCCCAATGGGAAGTGATGAGTGGCTCGTCAGTGTCAGAGTGACATGGGGAAGATTCTGTGGGGAGGACGAGATGAGATATTATGGGCAATCGTGGACACAGTTGAAGAGGACAGCAGGAAATAGAAGGAAGTGGAGATGTGTTGTTGAAGCCCTATGTTTCACTCAGAACCCAAAGGAATAATAAAAAAAATGCACATGGGTTACAGAATCCGAAAGGATCGAACAGAGTATGAATCTGTGTTTGGTTACCGTCAAATACGGGAAAATAGCTCCTAATACTGCCTAACAGCCTTGTGAATCAGACTTCATCTCAAAGACTTGGTGGTGGACAGCCCTTTAATGTTCTAAGTTTTTGCTTTCATAAATAATACAGTCCTATGCAGTTGCCAATGAACTACATATATATTGTGTTAGGGGCTAAGTCATACTATCCAGGACTTCAAACCTCAGTGTACGTGAAGTGCAGCTCGAACCCATCACTCACTACTGGAAGTACAGGAAGTCGAGAGCCTAGCTAGAAGGATGAGACATAGGCTCCAACCAATCTCAAAAAATGGCTCAAATAACAAAAAGTGCACACATTATTCGAACCATTAGTGTATGTTTTCTACTTTATTATCTCGCATAAGTGACCTTCATTTTAATCGAATGTATGCAACTAGAAAACCAGAAATGGATGGAAGAAAGAATTAATTCATGAACTTTCGTATCAGAAGATGATTTCAACCAGTATAAAAGAATGATTTCGGTTTTGAGGAATGCAATGTGGCAGTTTACGCCTCTTCTTTATAATATGTGGCTGATTCACACTAATTGTCAAATACTTGGTGGATTATTGATATAGACATAAAACTTGGGCACTGTGGTAGAGTATAACTCCATTATGGATAAGATTTTATTTTGATAAGTCACACAGTAATATTAACTGATGACCACGTTTCGAGCACAAATTATTGCCACTCATAATCATATCAAGTTACCCACACAACTTTTTTCCCACATTTATGTACATGTGTCGAATTGACTAGACATTGCTATAAAAGTCAAATAGGATAATGTACATTCAGAAGTAATAATAATACGAGTGTTATGGATCAATTACAATCAGATGGGAAAATAAGACGAGTGTTTTTTATGGGCATAATAAATTACTTGTTAGAATGTTGTGATGTGTTTGAATTGAAATAAAATTTTGAGATTATTTATTATCCTCCTCTGATTTGACTGGTGGTAATAATATCTTGCATATTTCTGGTATTTGCATTGAGTCATTTCTGTTGCATGTGTTGGGTGTAGACTTAATGAACCAGGATTCAGTAATCAATCTCTCTCTCTCTCTCCACCTACATAGATTACTTCTTAGAACCTTAACCCTCTCCCACCCTATTGTGTGGTTGTGGTTAGATGTTATATGTGGTTATATGGTATAACAGTAGATGACTTATATTCTTTCTTATTTATATTATCACTACTAGTTTCACAATTATTATTTTGCTTTTGACCTTTTCTGATCTTCATAATGAATTTTATAGGATAGTTATTTAACACCAACGTCTCTTCTATCTGTTTTGTTTCATCATTTAGGTCTTTTTTGTGCTACTTAGTGCTACTGCTCGGTTTGTTAAACACTTAACTAAGCCAGCCTTTACAGAAAACGACGGATGAAATGAATTAAAGTCTTAATATCTATTGGCAGAATGCGTTGGCTTTTTATAAACGCTGGTGTGCAGTTTACCTTCTTCTATTCGTTTTATTTTACAATCTAACATCACAGCTAATTCTCCTTGTTCATTTTCCGATTCAAATGTGAATTTTATTCCCTCCACTAGTGAGTTTATGTGTGTCAAGAAGCTAGAGGGAGATATGTTCTGTTTTTAACACAGTGAAAGTGTCATCCACATATCTCCACCATATTACGTTTGGAGTAGGATTAAATGTATTAAGAGCCATATTTTCCCAGCTGTCCATAAATATATCCGCTATGATAGGGGATATTGGTGGCAGATTTTTGTCTATCCCTCCGCCCTAACTCTTTTCCAACCTAATCATACATCAGTTAACATTGGTCGTCAAAGAAGGCGATGACTTGGGGGGGGGGGGGGGAATGCATAACACATGTAACTGTATATATATTGTAATGAAATAATATTTAAAATTCAGTAACTTACTTCTATTTCCGCTGGATCTATTAGAGTTATTGTTAAGCCATGATTGACTTGTTATCTCTATATCTTCACATGATGGACTACTAGCATTATTACTATCCATGTCAAATAAACTTTGCAGAGTTTGACAACTTTTTTCCATAATACCACAATTATCCAGCAATGATATTAAATTTGAGACAGCAGTAAGATGTGCAGTTGAAAGAGAACCAGTAGAGAATGGACTTTTAAATCGAACCGAAGATGAAATCGGTGGAGGTAACCAACATTCATTGATTTGATCTAATTGTTCACTAAAAAAAAAAACAAAAAAACAAGAGAGAAAAGAACAAAAATGTAGTGCTGAGGTGGTGGAACATACGGCTCCAGAAGTATATCTCCATTTCGCGCCTGTTGTCTTCAGTTCTTTTTAACAGGCTCTACGCTTGCCCATAGGTATTCATTACATCCTAACATCATCTCCCTCATGTCACGCTCGACTTGTTGCTTCCTATTCAGGTTCCACTCAACAGCCTTTCCAGTATATATCCAATCCACCTCCATTTCATACTGCATATTTGTTGGGTGATGGTTTCTTCGCAGGCAGAGAGTTCCTTGTTGCTTGTCATTTCCGGTCATCCAATTTTCTGTATAAAATGAAACCTCCTGTTGATAAAAGTCTGCACTAGCATAGTGCTAGAAATCTGAATCTTGTTCCTTCTGTTGAGTGGAGCAAATTTCCGTCCACTGCTTTCAGATTTCTGACTACTGGTTAGGGTGTTGTATCATCAACTAAGTTATGAGGCGCAGCATCCTGTCAGACGATTAGAATTGATATATAACTCTACAAAAAAATAAGTTAGATGATCAACATATTCTATCCTTTTTGCCAAAATTTGGGAAGAGCCATCCATGTAACATCATCTCACATCTGGTAAGGGATGAAACGGATGTTGAACGGCTCGTCATTTTCCATCCACACTGGATTGACCTAAAAACTGACCACATACTATGTGTAAATGAGATTTTCCTTCCAAAGCTTTAGTTAGTCAAGCACACTCACTTCTGTTCGTAGTAGTAGGTCTATGATAAAATTTTTAGTCAGAACAATATAACTCGGCATCACTGAATGACATCACATGGAAAGGCCTCATAATCCCTTACACGACTCTCTCTGAGTTCGAGTAGAGACTGTGGCTGGGACTAGAACAATACACTTTCTCAACACTCTAGTAACAGTTTATCAGACAAAATCTCAATACCACTTCACTGCTAGAGTTGAATATGACATCTAGATCCTACGACAACCTCGACGATTCTACAGATCACACTTTACATACTCCATCTGTTCGATTGAAAGTCAAGCTAAACTTATCTGCAGCAGAGAGAGTAGCACAAACAACATAACCTGAACAGACTAACAAGTGATGGTCTGTAAGCATCTGATTAATTTCATCACGAACCAAAATCACATAGGGAACCAATAAAAATGAGGGAGTACTGGATAGCTCTGTTTCGTCTTGAATTGGGCCTCGTCCACGGCATGCGCTCCATGACCTCCCACCCTCCGGGGAGTCCAAAGCATGATGCAGGCAAAAAGATTACAAGAAAAAAATCTCTCCACGTTTCTCAGGATAGTTATTTCATAGTGAACTGAACAAACACCAAAACAGAAGTACAGATAGTCTGTCTGTCTGTTTTCGATATAGAACTTTGCACAAATGTGCGGAAGTTCAAGTCGCCACACTCCGTGTAGCACGCGAAGCAAGAGAAGAAAGTACAAGAAAAGCATAGTAGAGATAGTAAGCAGAGGTGTGAGACAAAGGAGTAATAAAGAAAAACAAAACAGTTTCATTGGGGATCATAAGTCACAAGGAGTGGATGCATCTGCACCAGCCACTGAGAACGATTTTGAGCCATGTCACCAATTGTTTCCAACCTCCATTGGTTTTTACCGTCCTGAGGACCCCAGCCTGGAAGTCTACACCTTCCTACGTGGCTTAGACCAACTGTTGTGGATTTCATTGACTGGTGCCAAGTTTTTGTTTGACCGCCGCTAGCTTTCTTCCAGCCTGACCCTATATCCTCTAACATTGCTCGTCGAGGGAGGCGATGACTTGGCATACGTAACACATGTCCTAACCATCTCAATCTTTGTAGCTTCACGACTTCGTCGATTGATTTCCCCTGTTTACCTAGAACTCTACGCCTAACCTCAATGTTGCTCACCTTATTATGCCACTTTACACGGGAAATAGAGCGCAGGCATCTATGATCAAGGACAGCTAGTCTTTTCATGTCTACAGATAGTAGCATAAACTGACTTAGTTATAGCAAGTAATACAGCAAAAACGGAACCTATACTGTTACTTAATGACTGCTTACTCATACACAAAACTATAGTGAGTAAAATGCATGAAAACACAGATACAACTAACACTAACTATAGTGAGTAAAATGCATGAAAACACAGATAAAACTAACACTAATCTTAGCAATCTGGAATCTGATATCCATGTACTGGGCGATAAAGGACACCACTGCTTTTTTTTATTTTATTCCTAGCGTGTTCCCAGTGGAACCCATAAGGCCTCACCAAGCTTTGAGCTTTGAAGTTTCCGCAGCAGCACTAATGTCATTCTTCTTCTTCTTCTTCTTACGAAGTGCGGTCGCCAGGCTTACTACTAAGAAAGTGAGGTTTAGAAATGAGTCGGTCAGAGATTGACCCCGAGACCACACGTGTGGTTGGTTGGCGAGCATTCTACTGGTGACCTACCGAGATGGTTAAAATAAACATATACTGATGATATTCACAGTCTCTAACAGACAACTTTTATCCACTGCCTTCATACAACGTGAGCACTCCTCACAAAAATAAAGGGGAGATTGCGAACGTCTGGTACTTACAACAACCGGAAGAGTGGACATGCACGTCTACATCTAGAAGGGCTGGAAAACCCTGATTCCCAACTGACAGTATACATGGGCTTTGTAATCCAAACAGATCGAATAGTGCATGAATCCGTTTCAGTCACTGGCAACCATCGGAAGGTAGCTCCCAGCGCTGATCTACTGCCTTGTGGATCATAATTCGAGCCAAAATCTCGAAGAATGGCTCCTACTGCTTCAATCTGCATGTTCGGATAGTATACAATTTCGTGTATGTCCCATATTTGTGTTTTTATAAAATGGTAATTTATAATATTTAAGATTTCACTATACTATCCAGTTGCCCAAGGAGGAGCTGAATTACGTAAGGCAGGATTCGAACCGAAGACTCAGTGCCTGAAAGCTACACAATAACTCGACAATAATAACAACAGCTATACAAAAAGAATAATTTTAACAGTACTGATAATCATACACACTGTAAAATTAAAACAAAATATAGGAGGAACAATATCACTATATCTCCAAAAATACTTACATAACTTGTTCAACTAATAACAGTGGATTTGCAGTAGGATCAAATTTCCTACAGTCAAACAGGCAACTTTCCCATTCGCACCATTTTGGTTGTTTTTGAAGAATACCAAGAATTTTTCTGCAATCTGTTGTTATATCGATGATGTTCTTGGTATTGGTTTTTGATGAGATATTTGATGATGAATAAGCTAAAAACGAAAAGAAAAAAACAATTACAAGTAGAATAAAAGGGGGTAAAAGTTCCCAATGATGAATATTAATAAAAAAAAATGAAAGTTGAACATGTACAAAATATTATTTGTGTGTAATGTGTGTGTGTGTAAATTTGCATTTCCCATCGACTCAAATGATCAATATCAGTGAAAACCTCTTGAGCAGTAAGCAATCTGCAAATGTTTGACGTGCACTTCGTGCCCTCTCATCAAATGTAAGATGACGAGGCTACAGGACTGGACTAAATCGACTACTCCTCCAGCTCAAAGATAGGGAATAAAGGGTTTAGTGGAGCTTGTGGATCACTTCGCTTATTTATGGAGTTGTATCAGCCGATGCCCGAGGGTTGGTCGCTGACGAAGTCTCGCCACGGATACAGAAGGCTCGTTTGGCATAGGTCAACTTACGCCATGTCTGGCTTAGTACACGTGATATCCAGCTGGCTGTCGACCAAAGAGTGTGTGTACTGCTCAGCAGTTCGTTCTGTCCTCCTTTACCTCTGTGAAATCTGGCCATTGAAAGTATAAGATACGAAAAGGTTATCTGTCTTTGATCATAGGTGTCTGGGTTCTAGCTCCCATGTTGAGTGGTATAATAAGGTGAGCAATAATGAGGCTAGGTAAAAAAGGGGGGAAATCAATCGACGAGGTTGTGAAGTTACATCGATCGAGATGGTTAGGACAAGTGTTATGCATGCATCCCTAGTCATAGATCGTCTTCCTTGACGGTCAATGTTAGCTGACATAGGATGGATCAAGTTGGAAAAGAGATGGTGGTGATCAAACCGAAACATGGCTTCATTGGTCAATGAAATCCATAACAGTAAGTTTGAGCTGATCATGGGGGGAGGTGGAGACTGTGTGGCTGGTTGGGGTCCTCGAGATGGTAGGAACCAATGGGTGGAGACAATTGGTTATTTGGCTCAAAAGTGTTCTCAATGGCTGGGGAAGATGCATTCGGTCTTTGTGATTTATAATATCCAATAAAATTGCATTGCTCTTCCATATTAGTATTCTTTCTGCCTCACATTTCTGTTGGTTATCTCTCTCTCTCCCTTTCGAGTCTCTCTTTACTCTCTTCTCTTGTTTTATGTGCTACATGGAGAGAGTTTAACAACTCGAACTGCTACACGTCTGTGCAAAGTTCTACGTTGAAACCAATCAGCTGGAAGACACTATCACTCACTGGAAGACATCCAGCTAACAAGTTCCCAGTAGGATGGGGTAATCACTGCTAGTCACCCCATCAGCCAAAATAACATCATATTAATCCACAGATATCGACAAAGCGTCCATACTAAGAATCGATATGACAACAGAAACCAACTTAAAAACAAATAATAACTGATAGAATCTCGTGACTTATTGGTCTAGTGGATTACACTCTGGCGTTTGAAACTATAGGTGCAGGGTTCAGGTTCAATTCTCAGTGATAGCAACCTAACCCAGTAGGGAGGCAAGGATGCGCAGCTAAAGGGTTCTAAACAGGACGAAATGTGTATCAGGGATTCCACTGTTAGTCACCACCAACCAAAATAACAAATAAACAAAAATATGTTTAATTAGTGACCCAATCTCTCTATCAAAAGACCTCAGTACCTTGACAGTAAAACACCTAAATAATGAGTTCTTTGTTTGTGAAAGTTAACGTATCGTCAATTTTATTTACAGCATCATACTGTATATAAAAAACATGGAATCTTTGTGTTGTTGTATATTTCAGTGGCTCATGCATGCTTACCTCTGTGCAAAACTATGCATACTACTGATTGTTCAGAGTTGTTGGAAACCACCCAGATCAATTCTGCTGCTCAGAACAGATTTCTCATGTCCCGGACTATAAGCCACACTTATTATCATGTGAAGGTTGATGATACTACCTAGTTGCCCAGGGAGAAGTATATGGAGTGGGCCGTGTTTGATAATCATTCATAGGGTGATAAACTTGACTAATTTAGTATCTACAGTTCAAGGATCACTAATCCTGCACAGGTTACGCGGTGCTCCAGAGAAGAAAACAGAGAAAAACACACAAGTTTTAGACCAGATAGAGGGTACGTTGATCATATCTTCATTGGACTCCGTCAACCTGGAGGTACTATGGCAATGTTTAGTCGTGAAGGGAGTGGCGGGAAAGTATATCTCACTAATCAAGGCACTCTACACACAAACTCGTGCAACCATGTAAGAGCCTAGGGAGATTTGTCACTTCAATTGATGACAACAAGTAATGGGTGTCGATGACATCCGCTGTACTAACAGTACCGATCTTAACTGACTTTAAAGACTGATGGATTGACTTGTTACCATAGAATAGTCTTGCTGACTTTAGAGGTTAAGGATGATATTGTTCTCCTAGATGAAAACGCTGATAAAATCCACAGAAATCAGGGAATGTTTGTCACACGATTATAAAGAGCAGAACACAAACTCACCGATCAATAACCAAGTCATGTAAATCAATACATCAACAATCCAATGTATTTGCTTTACCGCATGATTATGCTTAATCTTAGATACATAATCACCTCGAGAGCAAACAAATCAATTTAGCTTTCTTATAGATTCAACAAAAACACAACTGTTATGTAATTGTTGAATAACGAAAGCAGTCAGCGAAAAGAATTCAGTATATATTACTATCAACATAGTATGAACTACCAGTTGTTTATTTAAAAGCAGTTACTAGGATCACATTTTTCATGTCTTGGACTAGGAGCTACACTTATTGTGCGACCATTGATGATAACACCTAATTGTCCAGGCAGCGGGAGGTGAAGTAGGCAAAGCGGGATTTGAACCTAAGACCCACTCGCTGAAAGCTGAGTGAGTACTTCGGATAGTGCCCTACATGTTCACAAGATATACCCCTCTATATCGTATCAAACCTACTTAGTAAAATACATAAGTGTTAGAATAAATAGCACATATATATGTATGTATATGACTTACATGATTGTAAACGTCCAATACTCGGTGGTATATTATTCCATAGCAAGATTTCTACATCATCCAGATGACGCAGAATAGAAAATCCCCATCGACGAATAACAATTATTGTGTCTTCATTAGGAAATAGAGTCTTTCCAAATGTTACTGTCGCTCCCACTGATGATGATGTACTACTACTGCTCATCTTTTTATGAATACGTAATAATCCAAGCGGTTGTAAACCATGTTCATGGTAATCAATAGCTGTAGAATAAAATGTCTTAAACATTGCCTTCACATCATCTCGACTAAGCTTTGGAATAATCTTTAAAAAAAAAGAAGAAGAAGAAAGTTTACATCATAAATTTGCATTTCCCGTTGATTGATTATACGGGAACGAAAAGTTCGATCTCTGTGTTAACATGTCGGCTCTCATAGGACACACGCCTCGATGATGTCTATGGGATTAACGTGAAATTATTTTGGTCGTTGATGACTAACAGTGGTCAGTGAAGATTCACATTTCATCCCATCTGTGACTCATCAGGTAGATGATTTGGCATCATCCACAGTGAGAGATGGTGTCCCCCAACATCCATCATCTCAAACGCTAAAGAGTTATCTTCTAGGTACATTGAAAAGTTTAGAAGTAATCGACGTTTTTGAAAATAGTTCTAATCACATAGTTATGTAATATCACTGGATTGCATAGCAGTCCTATTCAACACTGATATTCTTCAGCAGTGATTGATTACCAATCATTCCACTCTTATATACTAGACTGTACATAGTACTTTGGAATTGATAGTGTTCTCTGAGCTCCTTGGTTTAATTGCGGAGCTTTCATCGTCTTTCTGGACGATGAAAGCTCCGCAATTAAACCAAGGAGCTCAGAGAACACTATCAATTCCAAATCATCCACCTGAGTTACAAATCTTTTCTATTATTGTACATAGTACTGTCAAATCATAAGGCTAAAAAGTCCCCCCCCCCATTTCGGTTGGTGATCGAAAAGCTGATGATCAGCTGGGTTAGCCCCACAGCCAACTTGCTGAATTCAATCAGTTATTATTGCTTCTGAATAATTCTCGAAGTCAGTTACTGATGAACAGTAGTAGTGCGATATACTGTCAAAGGGGTGTTTAAAATTATGAACACTTACAGAGAGCTGAATACTACTCATCCCAATTGCTTGACTAATCATATGGTTAAAAAAAGTATTACTTATTCGATGACTATTCGGAAAAAACTTATTAGCCATCTCATTGTGTGGTCTATCCAATATACAAACTAATACTACCAAGGAGAATCGAATTTTTCAAACACACAAGTAATTCATTTCAATGCAATTCTTGTTCAGATACTCTCAGAGAAAATTTATTGAATCAGCCAATGATAAAATGATGGAAGAGCAGCAAGTTACTTGAAATCATCCACGGGGATTTAGTGAATTTATGAGATTATAAAGAGCGCGCATGTACTTGAGACATACATAATATATATATATATATATATATATATATATATATATATATATATATATATATATCACCAACAGTTTCGAGCTATTGATTCTTAGCATTTCAAGGACCCAAACCAAGCAGCATCCACGTAGATGGCTCATCAAACCCAAGAACCGAAGACTTCATGCATTGATTCCATGTTACGATCTGACCATCTCTAACTCTGTCAACTAACTATACTCGACGCGTAATGCGCGTCCTAGTCATATCAATCGACGTAATTTCACAACCTGATCGATTTATTTGTTATCCTTACCTAACATTATACGCCTAACTTCACCACTTAATACTGGAGAAAAAAAGCAAACATCGGTGGTGAAAAGACAGATAGCCTTTTCAAGTCTTTTACTCTCAATGGTCAACTCTCACAGTTATAAAGAGGAATAAAGCGAACTGTTGAGCGCATTACACGCGTCCTTTGACCGATAGAATACCGTTTATTGCACGAAAGGTAGAAAAGGTATCAACATAGGAGTAAGAGTTACCCGATACCGGACTATGAGCCACACCTACTTTGTGATGAAGGCTGACGATACTACCTTGCTTCCCAGGCTAAATTAGGTGATAATGTGTAAAATTCGAACTCAGGACCTACTTCATTGGAAATCGAATGCTTAGGCCAATCAAGATACATCTATACAATGGCTAATAAACATTATATTACATGTGGGTGTGTACATAAATGGTGACAACCATTCAATAACAATAATAATAATAATTAAAAAGCAAACAACCCTTACGTTCACCAATAAAGTGCGATGTATGCGAACACGTGTTTCATGAAGATCACTGACATTCAATAATAAATCACCATCTAGTAAGCCGTAGGTTTCACAAATTGACTGAAATGAGGGAAGACAAAATACAGTCGTTTAATTGATGAGATAATATAAATAAATTACAGAAAAATACGACAGAACAATCTATTTTGATAATGTTAATGCCCCTTAGCAAGTTTCATCCAATAGAAGGACAATTTGGAAATCCCATCTGATATACAAATAAAATCAAATTTTTAGTAGAATGAATTTAACAGGTGATACTTGCCTGTGTTAATTTGTATTTCCCGTCAGCTGATTTTCATTGGACGAAAATGTTCAATCATTGCTGACATGTCGTCTTCTAGTACGCAAACCTCCATATATAACCTGGTACGGCCGTATGGTGGGTAGACTTCAGTCACCCTCTAGAAATGCTCCTAAAGCTTCTGCTAGGTAACTCCTATTCAAGACCACATGACCAGGGTGTTCCTCAACAAAAGTGAAAGGGTGAATGAGAACATCTGGTGACCGCAACTAGACAAGTGGTGGACATGCTGCTCCACTACCCAGAGGAGCTGGAAAAACCCTAATTCTGAACCCGATCCGAAAGGACCGAATGCCGTATGAACCTGCATTGGTTACCATTAACCATGAGAACGTAACTCCTGACGCTTTTTCACTTCTTTGATGACCAGACTACAAGTCAAAGGCTCAATTGGGGGTGGCCTCTTAAGACAAGCAACCACCTTCTTTGCTCTGGGCGTTCAGATAGTATCCCAGTGAATCCTCTTGGTGCCCATAAAGCCCTGAGTTTGTATTTAAATAAAAGGGAATAAAATAAGCTTTGATGATATCTCAAGGTTAATATGAAGTTATTTTTGTTCATGGTGGCTGGCAGTTTGACATCAGGACGCATGTTTCGACGCCAGATGCACCTGTATTCCCCCACTGGGATTCGAACCCAGCACATATTGTTTCGAACGCCAAGGAGTTATTCACTAGGCCATAAAAGCTACTCCTCTCACTGGGACTGTAGGTACATCCAGTAAAAATGAGTCCTAAGCAGGACGAAGCACTTGTCATGGATCCCACTACCAACCACTATCAAACAAATGCGAGCATAAGGTGAAATGGTAATATTAAATCAGGAACTTCTGCTTAAGTGGGCAGTCTCAAAGGCAGAAACAGATGAAATTGATCTACTTCTTGAATATCTCTCATCTATCTAAAAGCAGGATTCCTACTCAGAATAAAATATTGATACCAAGACATACTAGCAGCAGGATAGAGAGAATCGATAGTCGGATCTCCTGAAATTAGTAAATAAGAACTAATAGAAAATCATAAATACGATAGCAACACTGGTAAATGAATGTTTAAAACTGACAGTTGAAATACACTACCAATTCTCACCCACAGCAACGTGTCAGTCGATGAATTACAGTGATAAACATAACCGCAATATATGTTGTTAGAGCTCTCAGTTCCTCAGGACAAATTTCTCATCTACCACGAAACAGTCATACTTATTCTGTGAAGGTTTGTGATACTAACTAGTCACCCAGGCTGTGAGGTAAGCAGAGTGGGATTCGATTTCTGCAGATTACTCTAAACGTGTTCTAACCATTTATCATTTCGGATTAAGCAACATGAAGACAATTCCCCTTGCCATACAAGGCAACCACTGCGTCGGTGACTTAGTGGTAAAATAATTGCCAGCCACGCCGCAAGCGGTCCGGGTTCGGCTCCCTACAGACACACTCCTAAACCTCCCTTAGCCAGCAATAAGTCCGTTGTAAAGAGAGGCTGTGTGTGTGTGTGTGGCATTCTAATTCAATTTCCTAACTGAGGTGAAAATAAACACCTTATCGCCCTAGTTGTAAGGATTGTCCTTTGTGACTATGACAACATACAGTTGTTAACCAGAATCAAACGTGTACATAAAATCAGATGCGATCCAGCAACTGTGGCATCACACTTAGTTTGTTTATACTCAATTTATCCCGAACAGGTGTCGCATGTATCAGGCTGAGCCACAATTATCAGGTGAGGAGGACAGATGATACTACCTTCTTGTCTAGGCTTTAGTAGGTGGGACAGGACTTGAACCCATGACCCACTGGCTGAAAGCTAAGTGCCTAAGCCGATCAGCTACACTTATTAGCGAGACGTACAATGTACATTGGATGATAAGAGACTGTCCCGCTATCCAGACGACTTATAGACATTATGACGATTCTTCCTGGTGACTAACTGAGTGAACATTGAATAAAATAACTGAGATGCCCTTTTTTCTTCATAAATCAATTCTAATATGAATGTGCTAGGATCGAACGGCATGACATCATAATCAACCATGGCTGTTGCTGAAAGTTTGAAATTAATAACACTACCACAGAATCCTTAACCGACCAACCTTTACAAGTGCTAAGACACAACATCATATATTCTTGATTCCAAGCAAGAGAGTCATTCCCCCTGAACGATATGGATTTGAGTCTGAAAAGCGACTACTACTTAATTTTAATTTTATTATGGCTTGGAAACTACTCGAGTAATACGGTGTACCCCAAATATTCATCAACCTTATTCAACAGCTGTACGACAACGGCACATGTCAAGTCATCCACAACGGAAAACTCAGCGAGGCGTTTGGAGTAAACACAGGAGTCAGACGACAAAGGTGCTTATTATCACCAATGATATTCCTAATTGTGGTGGACTGGATTATGCGTCAGACAGTGGGAAACGAGGAGACAGGAATATCCTGGACCGACGCGAAGAACCTAGAAGACCTGGATTTCGCGCGTGGGTGATTTATGTTTGATGTCACACACAAATTCGAAGACTCACAAGCGAAAACCGACAAACTGGTCGAGGAAGCAGCCGGCGAAGACAGGACTCCAAGTGAACACAGACAAGACAGAGGTGATGGAAATAACCAACCAACAACAACAGTAGCAGCAACATCCAACGTCAATCACCATCAACGGGAGGGATTTGAAAGAGGTCACTTCATTAACTCACTTATCTAGGCAGCATTGTCTCAACTACAGGAGGAACGGACGAGGATGTCAAATCGAGCGAGAATCGGGAAGGCGAGAAACACATTCATCAACCTGAAATCAATCTGGAAATCTTCTTCACTCAGCATCAACAACAAAATTCGGATTTTCAATACAAACGTCAAGTCAGTTCTTCTATACGGATCAGAAATTCGGCGGGCGGGTCACAAAGAATATTTCCAACAGCCTGTTGCAGACCTTTATTAACAACTGTCTTCGCTGACTCTATACTGAAGATCAGATGGCCGGGCCGGAAAGAATCACCAACAAGGAACTATGGGAACAAACAAAACAAGAGCCAATCGCCAACCAACAAATATGCAGGAGAAAGTGGAGATGGATCGGTCACTCGCTGAGGAGACCGCTGGGTGACATCGCAAGTAAAGCCCTCGAGTGGAACTCGAAAGGGAAGCGGCGTGTGAGAAGTCCAAGGGTGACATGGAGGAGATCGTGTGAAGAGGAGTTGAAAGAGTATGGACTAACATGGATGCAGGTGAAAAGTAGAGCAGAAGACAGAAGCAAGTGGAGATGTGCAGTTGAAGCCCTATGTTCCACTAGGAACCCCAGGGACCAATAATAATAATGATGATTTCACACTGTATATTGGTACAACTATGGAATTTTCAGCATGAGTGATATCACGTCGGCCGGGGTTCGAACCCCGGACTGTGTGCATGTTCGGCGAGCATCCTAACCTCTGTGAGATCGACACTCATAAAGAGAGGACCGTGAGGCTTCCCCACTGACGAAAACTACACCCCTGAGAGCACCCGATTAAGGTCCGTCGCAAGTTTCAACCCACCGAGGTGCAATGGTGAGCCTCCCCACCCGGAGTCACAGCATTCCTGATCACTTGATTATTAGTTTAAATATACTTTCAACTGAAGAATATCTGTAAATACAACTAGAAACTGAGGTTGAAACCCCCTCCCCTTTAAAAATATGGCAACATGTTGTACTTACTTTGAATGCATTCGTAATGGCGAACCAGGATAAACAACCAGGATGAAAAAGATGGTCTAAAAATATTTCCAGTTGAACATCAATACCAGTTTCATCCCATAGACTATCGAGTTGCTCTTGACTAGCAGATTGTATTGCAATATAGGCAGGAAGTTTATGCCAACTAGGTAACTGGTTTAAAAGATTTACACCAGGTGGAAAAGTTGAAATCGTGTTTTTGTACTTGTAAGAATCACAGTCATTTGGAGTATTATGAATTTCTGTCCATCTGACAAAATAATTACTATCCAATTGAGTATCACCAGTATCAGTTTGATGCGCCAACCACCATATACCACCTAGATGGGATAAAAAGATAGGTGGAAAAGGTGTTTAAAAATTAAGTATTTTAAATGCCTTTCGCTAACCCTGTCTATCTGTCTGTTTTCAACATAGAACTTTGCACCGATGTACAGCAGTTTAAGTCGCCACACTCCCTCCATGTACCAAACAAAGAAAGAGAAGGAAGTAGAAGAAATGCATAATAGAGACAGTAAACAGAGGTGTGAGGCAAAGGAATAGTAATAACGAAGAACAATATAGTTTCATTGGAAATCCTAAGTCATAAGGAGTGGATGCATCTACCCCAGCCATTGAGAACGATTTTGAGCCATATCACCAATTGTTTCCAACTATTGGTTATTACCGTCCCGAGGACCCCAACTAGGAAGTCTACACCTTCCTACGTGGCTTAAACTAACTGTTGTGGATTTCCGCTAATTCATGACCTAATTAATTTGTTTTACTGACTAGACACATAGTCCGGGACTCGATACCCGGTCAACGCACTCATGAGCCTCGTTTATTTGGTAGTAAAACTAGATAAAGAGGGAAGGTTGGGTGTGAGACAAGCAACCTCACCCAGTAAAAGACCATCACCACCACCATCACCACTGAAACTTCAAAGGTCCAGCTGGAAACCCTATCTTCCATTCGGAATGTTAAAGGGAATGAAGAAATACTGAATAATGGTGATAGTTACTATGTGCTGAGTATAATTTGATGCCCATACTGCAGAAAGTTTGTACTTCAAGTGCAACCCAGTTAGTTATAGTTACCCAGAGCAGATTTCCCATGTATTAGACAAAAAGCCACACTCATTCTATGAAGATCAATGATACTGTAATGAGAGGAGGCTGCTAGCCAAATTGGTAGACATTAATTTACGTCAAGGTTTATGTCCCAAATATTGGTCATGAGAAAAATAGGAACAAAGACTTTGCGTAGGCGGATATAGTTAGTATGTGTACACTGGTTCAATGGACAGATGCGCGTCTAACACACACACACACACGCACACGTATTACGGATTCGATTCCCAGTCGACACACTCCCAAACCTCGCCTAATTTACAAACTGGTAGTAGTAAGCCCAACAGAGAGGGAAGGCTATGGCATGAGGCTAAGCAATTCCAATGAAATACAAACAGAAATGGTAAAAGATACACGTTAATTAAAAACAAATAAATCTCTACTTACCCAAAGCATTTTAGATTTTATTCCCCTTTCAGATGATTCATTTCCACCTCCTGATTTTTTTGCTATTTCTGAAGGAATAAAATCTAGTACACTGATATCAGGTTTTTGTATTTTTAAAAGTGAGTTCATATTACTTTCATATGATAAAAACTCGGTATTATAACTATCATTATTATTATAGGTATTTAATGCTCCTTCATTAGAATCTTGTATTAATGGATCTACTTGTAATACACTTAAACATTCACGATTACGATTTAACGCTTTGGCAATATCCATATGTATCCAACACCAATAACTTGTATTCACTTCTTTTGATTGAGAAAAATCTAAGCCAATCATCATATTATTAGCTGTTGAAGATAAACACATTGACATATAGACGATGATATTGATACTATGACTAGATACTACTTCAGAAGATAATCGATGACATAAACCTGGTGCAAAATTTGAATGTAATGCAGACTGATCCAATGATGCGTTAAGATCAAGTGTTCTAGGCAGAAATTCTAGAAGATCTAGGACAGCAAAGCAATTACGATGCTGAATAAATGGTTGGGGAAAAAAACAATAGATAATGAATTGAAAGTTGTATAAACAGTATGGAATGAAAAATATCTGCAATTAAATTTTAAAGATATACACATTAGTTGTAGAAACACTTTGATTTAGTAGTATACAAAAGGAAAGGAATTAAACTATTGTGATGGATGACACAGCTCAAGCGGAGAAATTTTACACTACTGTAAGCAATCGTGGGGTCTGTTAAAAAGGAATTTTGACAGTAGGACAAAGTGGAGATGAGTTGTTGAAACCCTATGTTACACTCAGAACCCACGAGGACAATAATAATAGTGTAGGCACATGAGACAACACTGATAAATAACAAATATCTAATGACATCAATACATGAGTACAAAGGTTAGTGAAAAAAGAAAATGTTAATTTTCAAGAGTTACTTTATTTTTAAGTGATATCACCACCTGACATCAGCTAGAGAGTCATTAGAAAACCAGCAGGGGATATTTGACTGCTGTTTCGTCTCACTCTTCATCGGTATGCACCCCCACCAAGGTTCGAACCCAGGACATTCAAGTTACAAGCCAATGGGACCTGATCCAATGACTTATGAATTTCAAATTCTACTAATTCATGATTTCAGCGCAACCTCTAGACAATGTCATTGGCGATGACCTACACATCTATTGTGTGATGGCTGGTGATAATACTCTGGGGTTGCCCAAACCCCGGTAAGTGGAATACAATTCGAACCCGCAATCCACTGGTTAAAAGTTGAGCGCCTAGACCAATAAGCCATAGCTCTTCACGATATTGGTAGGTATATTTCTACCATTTCGTCAAACTTTTAAGCATGATGTGAGTCTCTCATATTGAAAGACACAGACTTACCGATCCTAGCAAGTGAATATGAGATAAAACAGAGGGAATAATAGTAGTAACAATGAATTAGACGTGGTAGATAGGATAGAACACGACATGTTCCAAATTTGGAATGGTCAAACAAATTCATTTGTATTTCTCAGACAACTATTGAAAAGTGTGTGTAAAAGAGAACCTTAGCAACAGAAATATCATGACTTGAAGCAAGCCAAAGATCTAGCAATGCAAACGACTATTGCATAACATCTCATATATTTATTCAACTAGTCTGACTTTATATTACCCTTATCACCTTATTCGAAACAGCAATTGGCAGAAATAAGATAATCATACTATTTAGACCTGACACAAGCCTTGCATCATTTTGGATTTACTGCCTCCGAGAGAAACCGCAATAAGGTATGCTTGTGACAAAAACTGGAAGAATCGCTGGCGAAAATCAACAAACTGGCTGAAAGAGCACTCACAAAAGACGGGACTGTAGGTGAATATAGCGAAACGTCAATAAAAACATCGTTTTGTTTTTCATTCATTGGGAAATACAAGAACCTTTATTATAATGAAAGTAGTCTCTGATCCAATGTCCTCCGAAACAAAACGTAAGTTATATAAACGACTACTCTGACTGGGGTTCCCCGAGACACTGGGGAACCAATGGCTGGAGACTGATGGTGGTATGGTTTGGAGTCATTGTCATTGCAAATGTATTTCTAATGGCTACTGAACTCCCAGATCCATCAAATTCTCAATATTCTTCGGATACGCATTCTCTCTACTATACATAACGGCTAACGGTATAGGACATGTTGCTAATTCATTCAAAAGATAACGAACTGTGGGTGAACTAGTACCTGGACACATTCATTCTAATTTATTTGAATAGCCTAGCGACTTGTCGTTTACCTTAGGTCGTACATATCCGTTTATTATAGTTAACTTGAATTTTTTCTCTACCTTAGTGTGCGACATATAGTGTGGCAACTTAAAGTGCTGACCTTCTATGCAAAGTTCTGCACTGAAAATTCTGTCAGTCGGTCACTCTGGTGCTTAGATTGCTATTGAGCAGCGTCACAAAACGTCCTTTCATCTAACTTGCAATCATGAACCATTGACACGATAAAATACTAACACAAAAGAGAATAAGAAACTTACTTTAAAGTCCCATAACCGCAAACGGTGATCTCTGCAAATAGTTGCCAAGAAATATTCATCACAACCCAAATCCAGAGAGATTATATCTAGGGGTGATGAGGCAGAATCATTATCAGTTTTGCTATTAAAAAAAATTAAGGGATTAAATTTTTTGAAATTACCTTGAAAACGGAGTGATACCACTCCACAATTTTTGGATTATCGACGTCTGACATAATTCAAAAACTTCTGTACCTTCTGGAGCTGAAAGAAAAACAGTTAATAGTTTAGATGCTTCGAGATGAAATTTCACTATAGTTTCTTTTGAAAACTTACAGTTGTGATGCAACCAACTTGACTCCGTAAATAACGTCAAGTTTGCGATTAAGGAAACATGATACATACCCCTAACGGACACAATTACGGGAATGGCAATTAATACGAACCGGTACTGTCCGCTAGCTAGATTCAAATTATCCAAAAGGTGAGCTACGATTTCGCCGTTTAAGGGCAAAGCTCATTCGTCATACATTCGGTTCCATTCAGTTCAAAGCCAAACCAAGGTTGGTTACACTTTACCACCCGCTTAACACAATAATTGAGGAAAGACGGTCAAAACGTGTTTCAGGTAGGCCAATATACACTCGTTTTAGTAGGTAAACTGATGCAGCTTATTGGGTGCGTCTAATTTAATATACGGTAGGGCCATACAGATAATTCAATGGTTCGTAATATTACGTTAATGTCTGTAGGCAGATATGTGGCTCATTAGTTGAGGCACTCGACTTTTAACGTCTTAATAACTAGATGGAACTGATAATAGTCTGCAAAAATGAATGTACATTCTAATTCAACCAAAATCAAAAAGAAAAAACGCGTGGGAGTTAACACACTAAAACGTTGAAAGGAAGGGAATTAGTCTGAAGAATTTCTAAAAGGTTTGAGAATAATTATTTAACGTACCTTGGTTATGAGGGATAACTGACACATTCTTATTAGGTAAAATAATATTACCGACATGGAACCTAGCAAAAATGCGTTATTTCGCGTTTACATTTCTGATCCGTAAACCAAATAATAGGTAGAAGAGAGGAAGATAGGTAAGTGGAATTAATGCCATAAGAGGTTGAAGAGTGTCATGGTATATGTGATCTCCTACGAGGTTACTCCCTCTGAAGCAAGATGTATAACCATAGATCTTCATATGCATATCTACCATAAAGTTGAAGACACCGTCGACAAACGCTTTGGATGTGTTTTACAAGACTTGACTCCGTATAGTCATCACAACTTTTGCTACCCAAAACAACTTAAAGCCATTTTGTAGCTACGTTTTTCGGTTTATATTTTACCTACCTTTGGACTTTGTGTTGCACCAGAAATCTTAAGTGAAAATTTTTAGCGCCAGACTTGGGATGTTGCCAAGATTATTTAGGACAGTGAATGTTGTCACGATCCGTTGATTGTCCATGTGCTTTTCACCCAAAATACAATGTGAATATCCTCATCACCCAGCACAACTGAAAGAATTTCACTTATAGCCCTTTGGCGAAATCAACGCATATTCACTATGTCAATTAGTAGATGTCAGTAAGCCATATGCCGAACTAAGTGACTCAACATGTGTCGAAGGAAATGACTACGCATCCTTAAAAAGGCAAATAGAATCCTAGAAATACCGGCCTTTAGTCTTGGAAATACAGTTAACCATGAATGTTCCCACAGGACTATGATTATATTAAGTAACGAGGGTTTTAAGAAGAATATTATTTAGCCTTACCAGTAGAGTCAAACGGAAGAACTCTTGCAATCATTATTGAGCCTGTGGATAGTCCATAAGCGAAAACTGAGACGCCGGAATGATGCAGAACAAAAGCGGTGCCACAACGAATAACGGATGGCTGTAGACCTTTTATTTGATGGAAACTGTACTGTACATTCTTTTTGTTGCCAATAATGGAGACATTGGCAGCATTTGGAAGCTAAATACATAAAAATTACTGGAAACACATTACCATGCGAGGGTGAGTGAATAATAATTGTGAAGCCCCATGAGAAGTGCAGACAAGGCACACAACTGCTTCATGTGTCTCACTTATATGACAACTGACAATTGCAGAACCTCCAAACGATACTTTCAATATATTGTTCGTAAGGTTGTGGTGCAGAGAAATTTCCTGAAGCTCGAGGATATCCCCATGTGAACGCCTAAGATAAAATCAAGTAAATTATATCATACCATAGGATAAAGCGATTAGCTAGATTATCTGTTGGGTCAGAAAATGTAAAACCACCAGCCTTATCAGGGAAACTGACGTCTTGAAGCGTCCTGGTGAATGTATCTAAAATGTCAACCAAATGTTCAGCTCAATTACCATGATTAATTACAATGGTTGGGAAATCCCCAGAAGTAACACTGTCCAACGTATACAGTTCAGAGAAAAGAACAGACATGCTTTTCAATCAAGTCGGTGACCTAGAACGACCTTCAAGTTTCAAACTTATCTCCAGCATTCAATCCGATATCGTTTTTACAAACAAGAGTAAACCAAACTGATTTCCTTTTGATTGTTTCTTAGCTGAAGGGTGAAGATGCTTGATCTTTGGTAAACTGAGTATTCTGTCCTACCACTTGACTTCTGTGGCTTCGGTTGACTCCAAAGGGGTATGTGCATGGATTGGTTATGTATAGTTCACGGTATAAAATGTGTTAAGACTGTATTTCAGCTGTGGATGGAGTTGATCCCTTCACTCATTAGTCGTTTGTGATCGAAAAGTGAGATGATAATAGATGTAACTAGTGTGGACCATGCGGACTTAAAAGGAAAAGCGTACAAACACATAGGTAATGACATTTAATAATAAAAAAAGAAATTAATCGGTTAAGATATGATAGCAAAAAAGTTAGCAAACGGGTGTATTAGTTAAAAGAGTGAGACAAGGAAGAATGGGCGGTAGTAAAGGATGTGTTTAGGTGTATTCGTATTAATAGTGTGATGTGTCCGTCCTAATGAGATAGAAAAGACGTGGGAAAGCCCTCCTATTGTAACAACAGAAGACAAAAGCCAGGCGGGAAATTGTTTATTCAGCAAATCAACAGATATTTATAGTTTTTCATGAACATTATTATAGATTACTGTAAGCAAACAAACACAGTCTCCTGATCGGTAGCTTCTCGCTGAACGTTTATCCTTCATTTCTTTGTGGCTGTTTCCTGAAGTTCAGATTATCTGTCTGCAAATTGTATGCGCCTGATCGAAGTCTGCGGTGATTGGTTGTTGAGTGAGCCTCTGTTCTTATTTTTCTCCATACCAGTATTGTAGATGTAAGCGTTTACGTAAATTATTTATTATTATTATTGCTTCCTTGGGTTTCTAGTAGAACATAGGGCTTCAACTGCACATCTCCACTTGCTTCTGTCTTCTGCTCTACTTTTCACCTGCATCCATGTTAGTCCATACTCTTTCAACTCCTCTTCACACGATCTCCTCCATGTCACCCTTGGACTTTTCACACGCCGCCTCCCTTTCGGGTTCCACTCGAGAGCTTCACGTGCGATGTCACCCAGCGGTCTCCTCAGCAAGTGACCGATCCATCTCCACTTTCTCCTGCATATTTGTTGGTTGGCGATTGGCTCTTGTTTTGTTTGTTCCCATAGTTCCTTGTTGGTGATTCTTTCCGGCCCGGCCATCTGATCTTCAGTATAGAGTCAGCGAAGACAGTTGTTAATAAAGGTCTGCAACAGGCTGTTGGAAATATTCTTTGTGACCCGCCCGCCGAATTTCTGATCCGTATAGAAGAACTGTCTTTACGTTTGTATTGAAAATCCGAATTTTGTTGTTGATGCTGAGTGAAGAAGATTTCCAGATTGATTTCAGGTTGATGAATGTGTTTCTCGCCTTCCCGATTCTCGCTCGATTTGACATCCTCGTCCGTTCCTCCTGTAGTTGAGACAATGCTGCCTAGATAAGTGAGTTAATGAAGTGACCTCTTTCAAATCCCTCCCGTTGATGGTGATTGACGTTGGATGTTGCTGCTACTGTTGTTGTTGGTTGGTTATTTCTATCACCTCTGTCTTGTCTATGTTCACTTGGAGTCCTGTCTTCGCCGGCTGCTTCTTCGACCAATTTGTCGGTTTTCGCTTGTAAGTCTTCGATTTTGTGTGTGACATCAAACATCCGCGAAATCCAGGTCTTCTAGGTTCTTCGCGTCGGTCCAGGATATTCCTGTCTCCTCGTTTCCCACTGTCTGACGCATAATCCAGTCCACCACAATTAGGAATATCATTGGTGATAATAAGCACCTTTGTCGTCTGACTCCTGTGTTTACTCCAAACGCCTCGCTGAGTTTTCCGTTGTGGATGACTTGACATGTGCCGTTGTCGTACAGCTGTTGAATAAGGTTGATGAATATTTGGGGTACACCGTATTACTCGAGTAGTTTCCAAGCCATAATAAAATTAAAATTAAGTAGTAGTCGCTTTTCAGACTCAAATCCATATCGTTCAGGGGGAATGACTCTCTTGCTTGGAATCAAGAATATATGATGTTGTGTCTTAGCACTTGTAAAGGTTGGTCGGTTAAGGATTCTGTGGTAGTGTTATTAATTTCAAACTTTCAGCAACAGCCATGGTTGATTATGATGTCATGCCGTTCGATCCTAGCACATTCATATTAGAATTGATTTATGAAGAAAAAAGGGCATCTCAGTTATTTTATTCAATGTTCACTCAGTTAGTCACCAGGAAGAATCGTCATAATGTCTATAAGTCGTCTGGATAGCGGGACAGTCTCTTATCATCTAATGTACATTGTACGTCTCGCTAATAAGTGTAGCTGATCGGCTTAGGCACTTAGCTTTCAGCCAATGGGTCATGGGTTCAAGTCCTGTCCCACCTACTAAAGCCTAGACAAGAAGGTAGTATCATCTGTCCTCCTCACCTGATAATTGTGGCTCAGCCTGATACATGCGACACCTGTTCGGGATAAATTGAGTATAAACAAACTAAGTGTGATGCCACAGTTGCTGGATCGCATCTGATTTTATGTACACGTTTGATTCTGGTTAACAACTGTATGTTGTCATAGTCACAAAGGACAATCCTTACAACTAGGGCGATAAGGTGTTTATTTTCACCTCAGTTAGGAAATTGAATTAGAATGCCACACACACACACACAGCCTCTCTTTACAACGGACTTATTGCTGGCTAAGTTTCACCTAGAAAGTCCCTTCTACTAGATAGTGGTCTGAACCCACATCTGCTCCTCTCCTCGATCTTGTGTCCAGTAGGCTCCGTCTCCACGTTCTTGAGCTTGAAATGAAGTCTATCTGGTTTTTGGTGTTTCCATCCGGTGAAATCCATGTCGTCCTGTGTATATCCTTGTGTTTGAACACACTTCCACCAATCACCAAATCATTGAAGGTGGAGAAGTCTGAGAAGAATCCACCATTGTCGTTCATTTCACCAAGGGCCTCCCGACCCATGGTGAGTTCTCTCCCTGTATTGTCTCCTCCCAGCTTCACATTCATGTCGCCCATCAGGATTTTGATATCGCCATTTGGGACGTTGTCCATTATTGCTTGTAGTTATCTGTAGAACGCCTCCTTCTTCTCTTGTTCTGAGACGTTTGTAGGCGCATAGCATTGAATGACTGTAACTTTCCTTCCTTTTGAGTTGAACCTGGCTGTCATTATCCTGGAGGAGATTGGTTCCCACTTCATGAGAACTTTGGTTGTTGTTGGTGACATCATGATTGCCACCCCCTTGGTGTGCTCGTGGTTGTCGTCTGGGTGGACGGAATAGATTATTGTCTCTCCAGTTGGTAGTTAGCACCTTCCAGTTCCGTTCCATCTGCTCTCGCAGATTCCCAACGCTTCTATTCTGTACCTTCTCATTTCAGCGGCTATCTGGGCAGCCTTTCCAGTTTCGTACATTGTACGAACATTCCAGGTACCCATTCTTATTTTTGCTTGCATCAGAAGAGGGCACATTGGCTTCCCGAAGGCTTTCACCAGCCTGCGTCATTTCACTTCTCCGATTCCAGCGAAAAACAAGACTATTGTTTATATTTTTAGAATTTTTAATATATTTTTTTGTTGAAGTTTCTGTGGCGATTTGGTTGAGTTCTACGGGGTGGAGTTGTTAGCACCACGCCCCAACCCTCCCTCTTTATCCGGGCTTGGGACCGGTTAGTAATCTCGTCGAGGTTAAAATTTATTGTAAGTTGCTGACGTAAATTACCGTCTACCATTTTGGCTAACAGCCAGCTCTCACCACACTGGGTCGTTCTTTGTGAGTTACCAAGGAAAAGCCCGCGGTGAACGGATGGCAGGAAACCATTCCTTGAGTGATCCTGGTCATTTATTATTTTGTCGGCAGTGTAAAGGAATGATTGTTGGGAAAACCTCTTCTAACTTATACATTTACAATACTGATATTCAAGAGGATATGTCGAATAACTTGTGATTTCAAGGGTTAAACGACCAAGTTTCCCGAAATTCTGGTGGGAATTCGTGACCGGCGGGGTACACGTGTCTAGGAGTGAGGGCTAATACTCCCCTATAGCGCCCTCTGCTGGTTGCGCTGAAATCAAGAAATGGTAGAAGTTTGAACCCATTAAATACAGAATCAGATTCCACTGGCTGAATGACCTACGAACTCGCCTTTCAGGCGGAAGGTCCTGAGTTCGAACGCCACTGTGTGATTGCTGTGGATGACTCCCTGATTATGACAAAACAGGTGTTCAGTACTCCCCGGCTTTCAGTGGTTCTCTAACTAATTTCCACCCATCGTCACGCTTCGTAATATTTATCCATTTTTCTTCTAAGCTGTATACCAGCACTCTAGCGTTTGCGTATCACCTGTTGGCTCAACTCTTATTATTTGTCTTTGTTCCTGCTTAATGCCCAATTAAAGTGGTTCTTTTTGAGGTTGTGCGGAGGTTCATTACTTGTAGTAATGAATGTGCAGTACAGGTGTTTAAATTGGCATACCTGGCTCATAAACATTAATCCTACATGTAGTTTACATCTAAGACCGATATGTTGTGTGATGTGTCCCGTAAAACACGCCGCAAATATGATTAACGCAAAAGAATGCGTCAAGCGGCATAATGTGGCGTCATTAAAGTATGTTAGTTTTAATTAGATGCATAAACCGTAAGCAATTTAAATCCATTAAGCAGATACTGCAGTTATCGGTAGTAATGATGAATAATAATACCGCATGATTTGACAGCATATTAGCTTCTTGGCTGATTATCACTTAAATAGCCCATTTCATAACGCCATTTTATATTAACAGCTGAATGAAAGAGACATTAACCCCAAGTTACTATATTTACTCATACCACATACTTGGCGTTCAGCAGTATACAGATGTGCAACCGGCTAAATAACGCGACTCCAGGGTAACGAACAGCACAGAATTATTGATCAACTTGCTAGGCCCTG